ATACTTTTTTCGCAAAAGACATTTATAATTTTTGTTTCTGTAAAATTCCGCTAATAGGAACGGCCTCTTTCTGCAAGATTGCGATTGACACATCTTACAAGWTCTWGTTRTTCCGTAATTCATGCTTRCTTTATGAAGTTATCTGGTCTCCCTGTGTCATGCGAATTCCCTAAACAAAGTCCCCCACGGACAAAGAGCTGACAAAGGGATTCCGTAAGTCACTATGGTGGTTACATGCCTGTGCAAGTTACTATGAGGCACTTCATATTTGAAAATTTCAACTTATTAAAGTTCTTTTTATCATACTACCTATATTAATTGTTGCTGTAGGATTACGATTTACGATAGAATCCTAGAAATAGTCAGCAGTACTTTAAGTATTCTTTTCCTACAATATCTAGACTCTTATCCATTTGCCATAAAAAGCAAAAAACAAAAAACAAAAAAACAAAAACAAAACAAAACCAAAACAAAACAAACTGAGCTGAATTGACTGAAAAAGTGACTAAAAACGACTGAATATCTTAACACCTCTTCACCTACGGGTACCTGTCAGACCTGTGTCTCAGTCCTGAAAACCTTTCTGTTCAACTATGATATTATATTAGCCAAAGACCAGCAAGTTTTCCTCTTGTAGGTCACAGGCCTGAGTACAACCACAAATTACGACATTACGTCCACAACATTTTTCTCTGCTGTGACTCAGCTGTACAAATGGGTTCCGGCACTTGCAGGTGAAGTGCCAATCCCTATTATATTCTGGGAAAGCTAAGATTGAGAAGACATTTTTAAAATTTGCCTCAGCCGAGTGCACACGAACAATATCCCATAGTCCCTTGCTGGTCGTGGTACTCCCCGCTCCACTCCCTGATCCTACTGGTGATCCCTAGCCCCAAGTATAAAATTCTCGGATCCCTTGAGATGATTTGAATATCAAGCTGATCCATGATCGCACAATAGTCATATTGCCACTCTGATATTATATCTCGGAATAACGTTATATATATATATATATATATCGTTATGACGGAATAAATTAGAAAAATGAAATAAAACAAAAATAACAATAGACTTTTACGTCACTATTTGACTTTCAATGCATTGTGGGATCAGTTTCTAGAGATAACAAAATAAATCCGCCATGTTCTGTTCACACAATGCATTGCATATGCGGTACATAACGTAAAAGCTTTAAAGCAAAGCTAGAAAGGAGTTCAAATCTTATGAACAGCGGTTGATAGGTAGAAGACATGCGTCATAATAATGACCATCATTTGCATGCATGTTTTTTTTACACAAAGCAAAGTCAAGAGGAACATTGATTATAGAAATATTACACAAAGCACTTAACACGACCGAGAGAAAGCGAACATGAAAAATCATATAAAAAAAATCATTTTGACAGCAGGCAGTCTACACAGCTCGTGACAAGCTAGCAGTAGTTTCAAACGTCTTTTTCACTTTATACTATCTTTTGGCAAATGAAGATGTGGAACTTATCAAGATAACTTCAAAGATTTAAATGCACTCCTGGTATTCGGATATAGGAGTGACTGGGCCTTTGCCTTTTGCCTAAATATGATCGGTCTGAAATTTTGCAATATTTAAAAATATCATGCGCCGGCTATCGCTTTAAATTGCATTGTCCTTTAGATGCAGAGAACTCACATTGTCAAAAAAAAATTGTCAAAGAATCATATCATGGCTTGCTGTTATGTAACTCACTATTAAATCAAACGTGAGGAGGTTCAAATTGTAACGATGATGGTACCTGTTGGACTTTGCTTAGAACGCAAATGAACAAGTTACCCGTTGATAACCAYAGTTGGATGACTCGTAAAAAAGAACAGTCGAGTTCAGGTACTCGCTTGTCAGTATCTGAGTGAATGTAGCTCCTTTTATGAGTGTATTATAACAAACACCTGTACAAAGAGCTATATGAAAGAGATGTAGTCCATGTTATAATACATTAAAAAAATTCAAACAGATATCAGAGATGAGAACTTTTCAATCCATTACGATGATGGGAAATCAATATCATATCCTAATGAAGAGAAATAAGTCACAGCAAACTGAAAAGTATCAACTTAGATCACTGAAYGAATCTTTACACAAGTCAAACCACAAAGAAAACAAAATAAAATTCAACATTGCTAAAGTTTTGAAAGTATTCAGTCACTTGTGGCTACAATTGTAGCTGTTTAGGATAAAGTCACGTAACGAAAGATGGACTACCAGAAAATGSCGCACAATACAATAGAATCACAAGATATCCGTGAATACTGTCATGTGCTAGGATAACGGATATTGATATTTGCGCCCACACGTTATTGTTTTACTTTGCTGTAAGCTCAACTTTGTTTATCTTCAGTTTATAAACTGTAATCCAAATATCATGCGGGTTTTGTGCCTGTCAAACATTAACTAAATACATGTGAGTGTAGCCAATGTTCTTGCTCTGTTAATATACCATGAGATCATTTGAAAAGACCAAAAGACATTATAATAAAAATGCAATTGCTTCTTAATGACTATGTTTACGCTGTGGATATAATTAGCTTAGACTGCATTTGAATCCTAGGTAACACTTCGTTTTCAAAGATTCTTTTGTCATCCTAGTGAATGCTCAATGAACTGTCTTTTTTATATTCTTGGATTTAACCCATAACCATCAGGCTCCCGACACTATCATCTTTAACAGTTGAAAACGAATGGTACTCGATGACAGCCAAGAAGATAAAGCTAATATATTCTGTACTTAGACTACAGTATTTTACAAAAGGTGACTGGATTGCGAAAGCTTCAAAAGATTAAAAAAAAACCGTTACGTAATATCAAGTGAAAGCTTTTGTGCATGGCTGCAGAATAAATTTCTTCAYCATATGATATGCATTTTGTTTTGAAATAGTTTAATCGGAGTAGGTTTAATCACAAAAAACGTTGAACTTTACAGCCTTTGCATCTCCCATCTACAGACTAATCATCAGTGAGCAACCACGATTTTTTTAGTCGTGGCAGGTAAAAACTATTGATAGTTTATAGGTTTTACCAAAYATTCTTACATAGTCTAACATTAAAAAGCTTTCTTTAACAAGAAAAAACATATAGTTTTAAATCTTTTAATTATTTAGCGGTCTACGTTTAGTTGTCAGATGTCATAGACGGGTGTGGTTTAACTAACATTATAATCCGATGCAGTGTGCTTTGGCCAATTAAAGGTCGTACAAGCAGGTGACATTGTTAAAAAAACAAAATCTTTGATTTACCAGTCAATACAAGATTTAAGTTCTGATTAAAGTTCAAGCCCAACGTTTGATTTACTCTTAGATCAATAAGTTAAGTTACTCAATGGAGTTTTTTCATGAATGGAGCAGTTCTGTATGTAGKTCGGTGTATCGCGACTTTAAGCGTGAATGACAAACTATAGCCCGAGGCACTTTTTCTTCTTTTTAAAGCAAAGACAATGAACAATGGTAAATTAMCATACCCTGGCTGGTTGATTATTTTAAAGATTTTTTTTACTTGAGTGYTCTGGATTTAATTGAAGAAACTCTTTAAATTCAAGATGGCGGCTTTATACCGTAATTTAGTATCACGACTGCACTACTGATGTGTTCAGTGGTAACGGAACGCAATGSGATAACAAACGTGTCAAAGTCAAAGAAATTCTGTTTTTCAAAAATGTTTATACAATAAATTCCATTAATGTTGTTCACTTGTTAACTCATTTCGCATAAAAAATGTTTTKAAATAAAGTCCCCAGGAAATCTTGTAATTCCAAAGTTCAGATAGATAGCGAATTAAATGTCTGTAAAGAAATTTTGGAACTTTATGTAGAATATTTTTGAAAAGAAATTAAAAACACGATACATAAATGGATTTGTTGTTGTCTTTTAWGTCTTTACAACTGAACAACGTCATGGAATTGACTGCATTAAGTTATACAACTTTTACATTATATTATCAGTAAAGTTACTTTCATTTTCTCTTCTCTTGTTCGATAAAATAATAMGATTTTATCAATAACTTATTCAATTTAGTTGTACTGAACGCGAATAACTAAGTAATCCGGTTTAGAGGAAGTGAATTGCGCAAACTGTCTCGAAAGATCAGGCTTTTTTCTATAAAGTCATTAATCGGCAATCATTAAAAACGTGTTTACTGAGGCAGTGGATCTCTAGGYAACACTAATGTTGATATGAAGCACCCAGTCAGTCGTTGAATGACAGCTTTATATTTGAAACAATATCGGAATTACGTGGCAGTCAACTGGTATTTACTTTAGGGCAAGTCGATCTAGARCACCACATGGTCGTAAACCATTCAGAAATTGCAGTAACCACTCCTGTGTGGTTGCTGGGTCAGTAGGCTATTGTTATCGGTGAGCGAGCTGCAAGATCACAAATAGATGCAGCGATGCATAACAAGATCACTCGACAACCAATCAGAAGCAGTTTTTGTAACTTTTGACCAATAGCGAGGCGGGTTTTGCTTTCACCTGTAATAGGCTAGCAAGTACTTGAGTTTTTTTGGACGCTGACATTTTGCACAAAACCTYAATTAAACCAAGCCCGCTGCAGACTGCATTCTAGCAAAGCTCTTCAACGCTMCAATACAAGTGTAGTTTGTGTATTTTGGAGGAATTTTTCACATTGGAAACCAAAATGAATGAGACATCTTCGAGATTCGAGCAAAARCGCAAAAATGGTGAGTAGAAATATCTTGGAATGTTGAGCAAATCACCCTTCATTGATCAATGGTCCAAGRTTAAAGCACTCGTTATCGCTCAACAAAATTGCAGTTATCTAAAACGTAAACGACAGTGCATTAKATAAAATTCTTTTACAACAATTTTTCCGAGGTTAACATATACATTTCAAGTATGTTTATGTCATGATTTATTCCCAAAGTGTATCACGCAGGACATTATTAAAATATCATATATGAATACTTTAGCTTTAAACAATCATTACACTTAAATACACTTTTATTGCAGGAAAAAATGTGGGAAAAATTARCTGCCTAAACAGTCGTAAAACTGCTACATTTCTAAATTTTGGAACCAATACGCTGAGATTTATATAAATAGACACTATGTAAAGCTTTAATCAAAACATAAAACAACAACAAAAACACATTCAACATTGCCTTGATGTTTGATGTTTCAACTTGTTTGTCAGATTCCAAACCCATGATTTTGTGTAAAGTRTGTGGAGATCGAGCGTCGGGTAAGCATTATGGTGTGACAACATGCGATGGATGCCGTGGATTCTTTAAACGCAGTGTCCGTAGAAACCTKGTCTACCARTGCAAAGAGAAAGGGGTGTGCCCGATTGATGTCGCTCGCAGGAATCAATGTCAGGCTTGTCGCCTGAAGAAATGCTTTGATGTGCGAATGAATCGAGATGGTAAGTAAATGTTTGACGATTAGAAAAGATCGCCACACTYATTGAGCGTTGGCCCAAAMGCGCRAAAAGGRTGCAAGTTACTTTTATTTTCATGACTGTGAAAATAAACAATTAACTCAACAACTAAAATGCRCGATATAAAACTTCAGAGAAACCTGATCAATTCTACTTTAAGATTAAAKTGCAGTGTAAAAAGGAAAATCACTGTGTCTTCGCTCAAAGACTGCAAAGCGTTTGAATAAGAGCCGAAGCAAAACAACTCTGAATTATTGATGAACTACCTGCCACACTTAACCAACGAAGAAACCTTTTTTAATTTTAATCGTGGATACACAGTAAGAGTTGAAACCATAAGAACAAAATCATATGAAATAAAACCCAGATTAAACTGGCTTTGTTACCAAAATGAATTTCATGCGTGTTGCGTTTGAAATCGAAACTTTTTTAGTAAGGGCGAGTCAAGAGCTACCAATCAAGTCTTAGACTGAAGTCTAGTATCTCATGGCATAGCAAAAGCTTTGAACAACTGATGGCATAAAAAAAAAGATGTATAACCTGTTACTGTAACGCGCCTCTTTTTCGTTAGTTCTGTTCATTTCGCATTCCAAGATACTTTTCAAGTGTGCTGCCTTATTTATTCCGCCCGGAAGAAGTTTTAACTAAAAYTGAAGAAGTTTGAATGTAAAAAAGTTGATTTTCGTGACGCTACCAATCTAAGTTAAAATTGTTGAAAACTGTTTTTAAGAGCTATTTCAATTCGATTAGCGTCTTATAAAGTATTGTTCTAGATATCATTTGGAAAAATACTGAATGCTTGTTTAATCAAGTGTTAGTTAGTCTCAGTTGAGKTAATTTATAATTCATTAACAAAAACCATATGATACATAGATCTTCTTGTTGTTAATTACAGTTCAACAAAGCTTTACTCTAATTCTATTGTAAACCTGTGCAATTTAATAGCACTTTCTTTTGTTTTAAAGTCTAGAATCAAAAGAACACAAAAGAATTGATTATGAATGCATTTGCTGAGAGAGTTTCTGATTACTACAAATTCACTTGAAGGGCGTCTAGTATTGGAGCTGCTATCGTGCGCAGTTGACGTTTTTGTCACAAAAAATATTTCGAACTTTTATCTGATTTAAAAAAAAACTACTTTTATCTGATTTAAAAAAAAAACCTACATGAGAAAGATTTTATTTGTAAAAAGACTTGATCTTGTTGTTTGTTGATGATACATTTGATCGTGTGAAAGTGTGACTTTGCTATTACAAAAGTGATTAGATTATGTGATGGAAATCAAATTTGATCTAACTAGTAATTACTCTCTGATCTCTTGGATTTCTTCTTCTCGTATAGCTTTATTCATTTACCAGTTTTGCAAATTGTGTCTACAAAGGGGCAAAATCGGTGCTTGTGATCGTTGCTTGTGATGGAATGAGACTATTGAAAGTTTTTTTTGTCAGCGTTCAAAAGTCTCACAGCCATTTCGCAGCCATGTGCAAATTCAATTGTTCTCAGCCAATCAGAGGACGAGACTGTGTATCACTGAGCCGGACAGCTGTGATCGCCTTATTGTTTGACAAAAGAACAATGCAGTGGTTCATTGGATAACTGTATAAACTCTCGGCAAATAGACAGTCTGTACGAGCCACGCTTATTGTCACTGAATCAAATTGTTATGACTAATTTGAAAATTTTGTTGTTGTGGTAGATATATTTAAAGTTTACCCGGCGAACTACCCGTTTTGCATGAAGACTTTGATTAACATTTCCCAGAGGTTTAAAGCGGATTAGCTATAACAATAATCTCTTGTTTATATACACAGCTGTACAGCATGAAAGAGCACCAAGAACCAGTCATTACAAACAAACTATCACCCAGTCTAATCTAAAACCCATCAAGCGAAAACATTCTCTTGAACAAGAAAACATTGAGAACGAGCCTGAATTACACGTCAGGGCCAAGAAAGAGCCTTACGATCATGATTTCTCTTTGAAAGGAGGTGCCTTTATTGCTAGGGGATCGAAAGAAATGACCCCAGTTACTATAGCGACGACCAATTTAACCCCACCCTCCACCCCACAGTACAATAATGGTACATTTGTTTATATGGCATCACCTGAGATGATCTATGAATCAGCGATACGAATTCTTTACATGACAGTCAAATGGGTTCGTAATATTCCAACATTCCTGGACTTACCATTCCGTGACCAGGCTATATTACTGGAGGAAGGATGGTCTGAGCTSTTTATTCTCAGGTAATAAGAAATGAAGTCGTAGTCATTATTGTTAACATCCAAAAGAAATACATAAATTGATTATTCGCCTTCATGGAAAGTAGACATTAAAAGATTCGTTTGATTATTTTTTTTCACCGTGGATATCTTGCCACGACACTCTAGTCTTTAACACAGTATGCTGTGATTGGTTATTGCTTGGTATCCCACCATGCTCCTTGATTTTCTTTACCGTTACCCGATGATGAGGACTAGCTCTTTGTAGTCGAAACGACTTCCGTCGTGAGACAAAGTCATCATCATCATTTGAAATGATGCACTATTCACTATGATGGCGATGCTAATGATAACCTATCATTTACAGCTTGGCGCAGTGGAACATGGTTCTTGATATGAGCTCATTGATAGCAGCTGCTGGTGCAAGCCAAGGTTCAGAAGACAGCACGGCTGAAAGCATCAATAATATACGAACACTACAGTATATTGTATCAAGACTTAGATCCGCTAACATTGACCAAACGGAGTTTGCTTGCCTTAAAGCCATCTTGCTTTTTAAGCCAGGTATTTATTTCATATTCTCAATTTCTAGTCGATCTTTTATTTAGAATGCATCAAGAAAATTGTGAAGTTTTTTATTCCCCCAAAAAGATATTAAAAGTGCTTTCACGGCTATGACCGTTGCTACTGGAAAAAATCTATCACTTTAAAAGGTTGTAAATTTGATGTAATATTTACATCAAATTTACAACCTTTAAAGCGCGCGATTTTTTCCAGTATACTTCACTGCATTTTTCATTTTCGAGCATTGATTCTGCACTTATAAGATTCAACGTCTAACTTAGCGAACGTAGCCTTTGCATAAGCGGACACTGTTTAAAAGTCACTTCTATAAATATGCTTTCATTCGTTTTCAGATATTCGTGGKTTGCGTTCTGCCAGTGAAGTTGAACTTCTTCAAGATCAAGCACAAGGAATGCTTGGAGARCACGACCGTCAAAACTACCCTGATCAGCAGGTTCGCTTCGGAAAGCTTCTCATAACATTATCAATATTAAAGTCAATCACGACTAAAGCCATTGAACAGATCTTCTTCCGCGGAACCCTTGATTCAATACCGATGGAGAGACTGTTGTCAGATATGTTTAAATCGTGTTGAGAATTAGATGACAATTCRTTCTTCCGAGATCAAAATTGATCAAGATTTATGCAAATGGTTTATAATATGTATATAAGGATACCGTTGATCGGTTTATTAGAGAATTTCAAACAGTCACGTGATATACCATGATGTCATGATATACGATCACATGACTGATGATGCTTTTTACAAMAAAAGAATCCCACCTTAGCCTGGGTTTTAACTCATGGACAGGCTGCACCAAGTACCACTAACTTAGCCTCCACTGCAGGCGATGTTTGGAATTCCCTGTGTAGATACTCACCAAACGAATATTAGTGAACTAAATAATTCACTAACGATTTTCCTCCATTACGTGATGGCAAACATTACCTATTGGGTAGCAGAAACCACCAAAGCATTTTAAAGAAGGAAATTCAATTTATTTAGGACGAAGAAACTGGTATCTGCTATTCAATGAGCAAAATCTCTCATAAGAAAACCACTGTCCCTCGACACATAGGTTTAATTAATTGAAATGAGAACGATTCGAAAAATGGTGGACTAATTCAACTATGAATTGGTCCAAACTGTGAAACTTCTAGTGATGTTGCAAGAACGAGAGGTCAGTAGACATCAACTCTATGTAAATTGTCCATCATTTTTCGAATTATAACAAGCCAGAAAATCTAGATTTAAATATAGAAATATAGCTAACAAGCTTTTTATATAGAGAGCAATTGAAATATTTATTTTATATCACTTCTTTGTAAATATATTGATTTGTTTTCAGTACATTTTTAGAAAACATTAGTATCGATATTGCACCTYACTAGCGGGTGCCTTTATATTTGCTATAAATTATTCAATAAACTATGACACGCTATTCAGAAAACTGATAGAATTTCCAGTTATCTTTTACATTTTCAGGGGAGGAGGAAAAGGGGAAGAGTTTGCATTTCAAAAACAGTACAAAGTCGTATATTCCGCCTGTGGTAGTTATTGCGTATTTTTTGGAGCAGCTAGACATGAACCGTTTTTATTCCAAAACATAGAATATATCTTTTGAATTATAGGATAGCTTGTTTTCTTTTYTTGATCTTTTGTTTGTTTGTAAGGGGGAATGCACCCCCTCCTCGCTGCTCCCAATCAATGTGTTGATTACAGCGTTCTACCATGTTTYATTTTTAAATCCAAAATGGCTGATACTTTAATAGGTTTAAAAGTAAGCAATGTTATTCTTTCAACGGGTTCACAAGACGGGTTCACAAAAAGCGAACAAAGCCGCGTGTGAAAGTTCCCGGGGGGGGGGGGGGGGGTCTTAGTACATCATAAAGCAGATTCATAGATAGTGATTGAAGTATTTGAACTGTAGTGCGCGTTGTTGTCGTTTATGATTTCTCTTGAAGGGACTGATGCTTGTGCTCGAGTAGACGTAGTTCGACTTCGAATAGACATACCAGGAAGACCGCTGTAAAGACGCTGTTGACGTCGCRTTATCARCCTTTTCCACTCGGACACAATAGCGTTCCTAAAATTCTGACTCATGAAGCAATAAAGGACAGGGTTYAGAGCACAGTTGGAGTACGCAATTCCATCTATCACAGGGTATATTATCATATTCAGCTCATAGGACATATGTTTAGCGTCTGCAAAAAAGTATATCATTGTTGATATATGAGATGGAGCCCAAGATAWGGCGAAACTCATCACTATAACAACACAAATCTTTGTAAGTCTTGATTTGGATTTGGCTGATGCATTAGATAATGATCTTCCTATACCACGCATCGATCTTGTTCGTTTTGTACTTCGCCATAATTGCTGTGCGATTTTGATGTACAAAGCTATCATGATCACCAATGGAAGAAGGTAAAAAAGAACAAAAAGCACGCAAGTGTATATGGCGGCGTGCGAAAACTCCCATGTTTCCGTGCAGAAAGCAAACCCTTGCTCTTCGAGGACGTCTTTGCATATAAAAAGAGGGAGTGCCACACCCAAAGCCACAGTCCACAACACAACACAAGTTAACTGAACTGTTCTTGTTGTTATGATGACTCGATTTGGTCTGCAAATTGTCAAGTATCTATCTATAGACAATGCCATTAGGATAAGAATCGACGCTTTAGTTCCTATTGATTTGGTGAACGATACGAACCGACACATGAATCCACCAAAGATCCAGTACCCCGTAATGTAGAGATCAATCGTTACGAATGGAAGATTAAACACGGTCAATAAGTCAGCAATACACAAGTTCAGCAGTAAAAAGTTTGTCGTAGTTCGCATACTTTGTACTTTGGCAATGATAAATATCACAATAGCATTGCTTGGAATGGCAAAAATAGTAATGAGACTGCTAGCACACACAATAGAAGTACTTTCTAATAATGTGTAGCCATTAGAGTTGTACGTATCGTTGTGATAGCTGCTGTTCATCGCCATTACTGGCTTTTGTGTTATGGTTTCAGGATTTTGACAAACTCTTGTGAACTAGAAGCTTTATTTTTCGCTTTTGTCCTCAATATAACGCGACAATTCGTATATTTCAGCACCTTAAATCTCTGGGTACTTATAATTCAGATCTCTAAGTGGTGACCCAATGAAATGGCCAGTTAAGTGGTTCTTGTATGTCTCTGAAAAAGACACAAAGCAAAATTGAAAAAAAGAATTGAAGTACGTCGAAATTTCAGAATATTCCTTCAATAGATTATAAATGCTCTGAATCTTTACTAAGTAATCAATGCCTGACAACAATATCAGGTCAGTAAAAAAAATCAAATGATTTAGACAGCGAATCAGTTCACAAACGTCAAGATGAATTGTGAGATTGTAGTTTTTGATATTTATATTAGTAAAGTGATCTAATCGACATTTGTCACTCAAGTGCGAGCCAGTATTGTCATCATATACTGAACTACGCTATTTCTAAGTAGATATTCGTGTTCCGAAAACACTTTACACTCTGACGCCCTCCGGATTTGTCCAACATGTAACTAGCTAGTTATGATTAAGATAAAGGTTGGAGTTATCATTTATGATAAGAAAAACAAGAAGAGAAAAAGAGAGAGAAATGGAAATGAGAGTGAAAATGAAATAATATGAATGTCCAGGCTCCTTTCTTACCATGGCACGATAAGTAGTAGCCGGCGAACTAGTTTTTTTCTACAAAATATATGTGAGGCACAATAAAACCAAAGTAGCTATCGACGTCTGCAAACAGATTGGCCTTATATCGCCTACGCTTTGTCTTTATCAGTACCTCATTAACAGTCCTTTATTCATAGTTAAGTGAAAATGAGAAAGACAATGAAAATGAATTGTTGATTTGCGAGCGCAAACAAATTTATCAATAAATGAAAAATGAAAATAATAGAAAGAAAATATTAGAAATTGAATTATATACGGTAGGGATGCAAAGATCAAAGAGTTCTGTAATTATATGAATATATGCCAAATAGTTCTAGTAATTTAAATGCGCTGTTGCCTTTTAATGAAAGATCCTCTACCATTTATCATAYCTTGTTTCCCCCCCGAGTTTCTTCCTAGCGCGGTGAATTTGCGACATAAATATAAGTGATTCATGACAAATGTCCTAAATATGTACAAACAATGTGGCCAGAGCGTGCYACTTAAAGCACATTTCCGCTGTTCAACTTAAACATTTTATATAAAATGTCCCTGCTGTTGTAATTTAAAATATCCTGTTGTAGCTAGGATCGCTTTACTGAAAGCTCTCTATCAGGTATCCATTACGGCCGCCGCCGTTGCCATAATAACTTAAGGCCATTCCGTACTAATAGAGCCTCACCGAGCGTTTTATTGAGACWTATTTTCGAAGTTTTGGCTATAAGTCATTACACAAACTATATGAAAATGAGGTTAACGGCGGCTTTGAGCTGTCGTGTCAAACTTAGCTCGTTGATCAAAATTTGGTTGAGTTTCACTATCTGTTCTGTACTAGGTATACGTTTTTTACAAGGCATGAGTTTTTTACATGGTATAAGTCTTTTTCATATTGTCGGCCTTTGATTTCCTTTTTAATTTTAATTGGCTCCGACTGAAAACTCAGCTGGACTAGATGGCGGAAAGTATGACTATTTTCGCCCATGTAATTGAGAAAAAAAACATGCCAATATTTTCAATTGTTTCGTCTTTATCAGTTTAAAATTGCCGACTGACTGACTGTCAGGTTGCAGAGGATAATCGGCCATAATTGTGGTATTTGTCTTCATCATTTAAGTGTTTTAGATCGCCTTGCTAACTTCCTCCCTTCGGTTCATGCATACAATATCCGAGAAGCCCTTTCGAAGTAAAAACTCAACATTGTATATACATTACATTATATGTCAAAGTATTAGCCAAAACAGCATTAGTTTATCTTAGTTGTAGAGGATTKATCAGATATCAACATTTCCAAGAATTGTCTGAAAATTTCTTGAAAAACTTGCGAAATGAAAACGAGTGCTGTACATGTTGTATTTCATGGACTGCAGTTCCATTAATCATRAAGTGTCCACCTCTATTTGATGAAATCAAATAAACACAGCTTTATTACTGATTGTGAGCAGGKTGCGACGATACTTGAGATTTCAGTATTTTCTCGGATTTTATTGCATTTGTCAAAATATTATTTACTTTAAACATAGCCGACACATCGACAAGCACGATTCATCTCCTCTTTTTGTTGTCCACTTGTTTAGTACCTCATCAAAGTCATTTTTAGCGGATGATTTTTCACTTTGCTAGATTGGTTTTAACCTGAAGCGGTCACGGAAATCGAAATTGCTCCAACAGATATCGCTCCAATATTTGTTATCAAAGAGAACGTCCACAATTATATCATCTCAGTGTATTTTTGTGAGACTAGAATTTAAAAGATGATGAATAATTTAATAAATTCATGTTTCTGTCAATTCTTCTGAAAGCTACAATCAGGTGAACGATCTTTGCTTGAGTCTGCCGAATATTACAAACATACACTGGAAAAAAACGCGCGCTTTAAAGGTTCTAAATTTGATGTAAATATGATGTAAGTGTCCAAAATTCTGTAAATTTAATAGAAATCATTTACATCAAAATTACAGAATTTTGGACGCTTACATATTTACATCAAATTTACGACCTTTAAAGCGCGCGATTTTTTCCAGTGATACACGGTGGGAAGAATCGAGTCTGTGAATTATTTGTTTTTATAATTATTCCCAAGTTTACCACACTGATACCCTTATTTATAACGTCTTTAAAAATACAGCAGTTTTAGACTTTGAAGCTTTGATCAATTTTGTGATAATTRTAGAACGTGATAATTTCGTTAAGGAAAGTAAATATTACCAGGATATAAATTAAAAGATTGAGAAACCCTACCTTTATGCACCCGATAAAAGATGGACATACAACTGCGAAGGCAGAAAACTTGTTATCAATCAGCAATATCTACAGAAATGCATGTTTTTTTCGTTTTTGTTGACCTGAACTATTCAGAAACTCCCACAGACTGAAATAATTCAAATAATATATCATTTTTATACCAATAAACGTACCTGAAATCAAAAATCAGGGTATTTTTCTGATGTGTTTTGTTTGCTCACGAATGTCTGTTGCCAGATGACAAAACAATATCTGATTTAATGCACTGTATGGCGCTCGTATGTCCCTATGTCCACGCACCGAGATGACTTATCTTTCCGATTTCACATAAGTACCTTATAAACGAAATACCTGCCAAAAAAGCAGATTTCCACTGATCAAGTAGCACTACAAATAGCAGACTATGATTCATCCAGTACATCTAATGAAAATCGTATGATCATCGCCATCGTTGTGTCGCGCACGATTCGCAGCCATTGTATTAATGTTGCGATTGGTTTCGACTCCTTTGTTTAAATGTCGTAACATCCCTCAAGCATAGTCTTTTGTTTATGGTCAAGGGGGTTTTTAAGTTACCTTTGTTACAATTAATACTCGAAAGTTTGACCACCTGACAACTTCCCTGGTTGGACTCGTATGAAGGGCCCTTTTGCTTTTGAATTTGTCGGCGCTCTATTTGATATTCATGACGTATGCTTTGCATTTACTAAAATAAAGAAAAAAAACCTTCTTTAAATAATGACTTCAGTTATAAAGTCCTTGTAGGCATTACGCTATAGAAAACACCCCAACATACTTGAAAATGACGTCTTGACAAGAGCGACGGTGGTCCTTGTTTTTCTTCTTGAACAACGAGTATATATTTTATATATCGACTAGGAGTACTAGCTAGAGGTATTATATCAGTACACTACGTATAATAATGTTTTCACCTCAAGTACCAACACCTAGTTGTGATATTGCAATTAGAGTTCCATGCCAAGAGAAGGTTAATGAAGTATGTTGATAGAGTCAGTTAAATATATAGACATAAACTATATCAACAATGCTGTGTCTGCTTTGTTTGATTCAAAGTTAGACTTTTATCCTGTATTCTAAACCATTTTGTCAGTTTTTTTTTAACGAAAGTAATCTGCAAGATGATAATCTCGCAGGGAAAGGTTATATTAATTGGTCTTAATGGCATTTTTCCTATCAAATTCATATCAATGTGTTCGAAAAAGGACTATGGATATAACAAACTTCCGCAAAACATTTCACAAAAGGACTATCGGTCGTGAAAGTGCAAAACTGYCATTTTCCTATCGATAACCTGTATACATTGATTCTGACGGCAAAATATATGTACGAAGAGCTGCTTTCACGTTCACTCTGCATGATTGTGGGCGTTGTTCGTTGATACCCAGAATCTAATCACGCAAAACGCCAATCAAAACTGTCAGCTGCAACGGAAAACAAAAAACTAGTTTTTTTACTATTTGAAAAAAATATTCATCTTGTGCTATTTTTATTGCTGTTTTTCAGTGAGCATACTGTGAGTTGATTCTAATGGTTTTCGGACGTCTTATGAGTGCACTCATCAATTCCAAATGATTTGTAACTCAAGAATACCACACAGAGGGTATGTTTTATAGAGAATATATGATTCACTTTAGATCAATTTCGTCTTTCATTTCAATGCAAGCTCTAGACTCTCCAGGGAATATTAACGCTTTTGATCACTCACTCAATACCCTTGTATTTAGTTTATTTCAATAAACAACGGCTGCTCATCCTTTGTCTCGTTGTACGTACGAGGTTTCCAGTTTTAGTTGGGAAAACAAAACAATACAAAACAGTAACAAAACACAAAACTGACACTGACGCACAGTCAGCACATAGACCACATACTCCTGACAAATGACATCGTACTAGAGAATTCTAAACTAAAAAGTTACTTGAATTGTCATGTACAGAATCCTATCGGTAAGAGTTGAGGCGAGTGCTTGCTAGTCAGTGCTAACGGCTAAATCTGGTTGATTGATAAGACAAGACATCTGCTTGTTGTTGATTGAAATATCAGCAAAATAAAAGCCTGCAGGGAAAACTGATTTATCCAGCTTTTCATAGCCAAGGTGATGGTCAAATACCAAACAAACAAACATAAAAAAAAAACGCCTAACAATAAAAAATGGACAACAACAACCAAAGAAAATACAAGCAAACAACAAAAAACGATTCCGATTACGATGAGAAACTTAAGGATTACGAAAGAGTGCTTAGATATTTGCTAGACAAAAAATATTAATCAAAATTTAAATATTAGTTTGGTTCATAAAGGCTTTTCAAATTGATGATCGGCTTTGAAGTGCTAAAGACACTGTCCTCAAACGCTCAATTACTCGTAGCCGGAAAATGTTTTCCTATTATTGCGTACTAAACGCATTGGATGTATTTTTGTTTTAAATATCCGCCGCAATGCCTTGTAGAACAGTTGATGAACCCCTCTACAATTTCAAAGTCGGATATCATTTCCAAAAAAAATCGGCCTTTTTTTTTCAAGAAAAAAGATTATCTTTTCAAGCTGTATATTGTTATTTTATACTTCTCACTTGATCTGAGTTTCTGTTAGGACCTGTTAGTACTTTTTGATGACGAGTTATTTATAGATAGTTTCTAATCGTTTCTAAATGGCAAACATTCTGATTGCAAGAGGCCGCGAGGCAAATACCTATTGGCGACAACTGCCTTAGTCGCTCTCGACAAGAACAAGTGGTCTTTCAAAAAAAAAAAGGAAAAAAAAGTTTTTCATCCTCCTTTATATTTGCCATAGAATAACTCAACATTGTTAAAAGGAGAGATTCCACAACCTCAATAGTCAACGGAATCTTAAAATCTCGTTTAGTTTTTTTTTCATATTAAATACATTTTTCAGTAGACTCGTATTAGACGTCGGGTGCAACTGACACTTTTGTAAGCTAATTACGTAGGGCACCTTGGTCCGCGGTGAAAGCGATTGAATATTRTAAGTATAAAGATAACTGGGTACAGTGGYCCKCGGTGCTGCAGTGTAAAATAACTGGGCACAGTGGTCCGCGGTGCCGCATTATTTTTCTGTTAAGTTCTCTTAARTCGCATCAAATTCTTGCTCAGTCCTCAATTTACCGACTATAAAYCAGACAAATAASGTGGATTGAGCCAATAACATGAACTTRCCTTGGCGATATCATATCGGTGGTATTCAGCCATGAGACGCGGAACATCTATTTATTATACAAAGTGATGTACCGGATACCAAGCGGACTTCCAAATCGTTATTCGTTGATGAGCCTTCCTGAATTGGCAAATAAATGTAATTAAAAAAATAACAAATCAATAAAAAATTTCGTTGATTGATTGGATGAGAAACAAAAAATGGATGAATGAGGACAGGAATCAAACAAATGAATGACGTGCGTTGACGTCAAAATCAATAGGGACATGCACTGTGACGTCTTGACAAGAAAGGCGAGTTTTTCTAAACCCGTAATATTGTCCTCAGTTTTTCATTGGATAGTGAGATTACCTCGACACCCACCATTAGTTCATTTACAGAAATGATAAGTTGCTTGACACAATTACTTAGAATATATCCTTACTTATAATGTCAAGTCATAAAAACCACTTACSTAGAGATGACATCATGGCACCCGGTAAATCAAGGCTATGGAGACATCAGACATTACACTTTTATCAGCATTTCCTATCTCTAGTACGGCAAAGTGTTCTCTGAAAACTTTAAATGGGAAAAGTAATCAATAAGAGGTTTCTTATCAATCAATATAAGGATATAAAGCAAATATAATTCAAATAATGAGAACAGATATAAAACTACTTTGCTCTACTGAAACTTACCATTTTGGTTCTCTTCAGTCCTTCAGTGACAGAGGAATGGCAACGCACTTCACAAATACAAAATATTAGTTGAAAATATGGGTTAGTGACCTACGATTATATCTTAAACTTCAACAAATTCCAGCTTTGGCGCATTATACATTTTTAATCGGAACCGCATATCTATCATGAAAGGAACTCACGTTTTCGAGTTTCAATGAAGGACATAACGCTTGACGTAGTTTCAGAAAGATCAGATATCTGTCATTATTCCCTAGCTTATCTTTCTGTTTTCAATTCCCCTAGTACATGCACTCCAAAAACGACACTTTCACTCTTTGGATACAACCGCAAATTTTATTTTTTACAAAGAAAAACACACCGATATGTCACACATTGCAAGGAATAAGAAGAGTAATATATTTGTATCTTATCTGGGCGCCGACTACAGACTGTCATATYAGCACTGATTGACTATGAAGCACGCAGATTATTAATTAATGACAATCCTTATGACATAATCAAGCTTGTTGGGATTACTAGTGCACACAGGATGCAAGAGCAAATTTCCTAGATATTTTACAAATATTTGTTATATGCATGAAGGCATGATTTTGCTAGAAATCTCAGYTTATTTATGCGTTATTCTGATTTTGAGATCATTTAAACAATTAAATTTAATTTACGTAACATTTAAAGATGGCAACGCAATCTGGTAGTTATAAGATGTCGTAGTGCAAATCACCTATTCAATCTTTACTGGCAGCTGTTTTTATTGATAGGCAACCAATTCAGCTAAAACTTCACATTGTCAATTAATTTAAGTGCTTAGGAGACAAATTCCAGTTTATTTTGACATTTTGATTGAATATAATCAAGCACCTATTGTCTACATTGAAATAAGTGTGTGTACTCTCCCAGATGGCCTGCATCACATTCAGACTTTTCCATCACATAACACTGAGATCGCTGACCACCACAACATGCATTGGGTCTTAGATTCACAATTAGAACACATAGTTGAACATTAGATCAAAGAATCACTATGCTTTTCTGAACATCAGACTACTTTGGAATTTTGATAATGGTGAATGGAACCATGGTCTAAGAAGTCGTTCTCTTGGAACCTTGATAGATTTGCTGTTCACCATGTATGATGGCTCTACATTGCTTAGTCTCTCTAACAAGAAAAAGAAGCAATCATTGATCAATTYATAAGCCCTTTATTTATCTATCAGGGGAGAGAGTAGGSTATGAAATTGTTATTACTTATTGGAGGTCAGTGGCCCGGGTYGGTGGGTTAGGAAGGAAGAGTACTGAAGGAAGAGTACTRGTGTATCCAAAAAATTACAACTTATTGTAAAAACTGTGATGCGAGTGATACTAAAATCAATAAATGATTCAGCAAGAAAGATGTGTGCTTGATAAGGCATAATTTTCATATTTAAATAATTTATGATTAATATTTCGATCATATGTAAATAGACATACCACGTCGGCATAAGTAAACACTTGTATCATGAGGTCCATTTGGATAGTCTGTAAGCTTTGTATTCTAGTAAATTAAAATAAAAAGCCACAGAGTAAGAACAATATTAACATGAATTATGATTTATGTGCATTCTGTGAACTTTTCATCAATCATGGTGACTTATACCTCAAGTATCAAATTTCTGTTGACCATGTCTTGCGTCCATTGTGGTACATATCGTTGGGGTACCACTGGATGGTATCGAGACCAAACTGGAATACTTTTAACAGAAATTAAGAGTTATAAGTTTAGAGTATTGTATTTACAATCCATATATTGAATAAATAACTCTGAGATTATTTTTCTTTAAACGCTATTTTAAAAACATTACTGAGCTAATTCAATTCATAYATCAAAACTTCTTAAATGTTTCTAATTTTTACAAGGAAAAATKGCGAGTATCTTGAAACAATCAGACAAAAGTTATCTGCATTGTGGATGTTTTTTCAGTCCCGCGAGTCGTTCTTTGTCAAATGTAAACAAAATTTAAGCAAAATAAAAAATCATTTTAAAATAATGTTTGATTGATCTATAACATTTGAAAAAAGTGACCTGTCCTTAGTAAGTTGATAAATAAAGGGTTCTAGTATCTGAGGAGATGGATTCTTTTACGAACTCKGTGCGCTTTTTGGCAGACTCGCGTCGCGCCGATCGAATAGCGAATAGCGAACACGACCGTAGTAAATTTAGATCTGAYAAAAATGCATATTTCTTAAATTTACGCATTAATAATATCAATACCTTTGTGTAGTCCCTTTTTCCATAGTTTTGCCGTGAATTAATTYCAAGGAACCCRMGATAAAGTCACTTGTCTTTGTTACCAAGCAAAACTTTTGCTATGCTTCGGTATCGAAGGGATGSCAAGGCGTGAGACTGGGAACTATATACCACGTGACTGGTCATTACAAKAAAGAATCCAGGATAGAATTTGTTTTTTTCCCAAGAAAATGGTGCTTTTAATTATTCGTTTAACTTTGGTGATTTTAGATAAAATTTTTACAGTTGAAGCACAAATTTATCTAATTTTTACACAAAAATTGAAATAAAAACCCTTGAAATATATAAGATCAAAATAATTGGGTTTCAAAACCCAAAAGGACTAATTTTAACAGTTCACTTATAATGAAACCCAACATGATAACAATTATATCTACAATACAAATTTATATCTATAMTACAAATTTAAATCTATCTAAAAGTTGTTAGGCAGAGATTGACTGCCATCATTGCAGGTATCACACCAACATCACCCATTACAAAATCCCTGTTTTGTATATACAATTGACTCGTTCAAACTGTTTTGATTTGCAGTAAATGCACATGAAAATATTCTTGGCTTTTGACGTRTATATCCAGACATTAGTTCGCTGTCATATTTTCCCCTTGCTGTCATTAAAACAAGCTTGGTAAAGTCARKGAACATAGTAATGCTTGGATTATTCTTCATTAATCTCATATTTTCAACATCATTGGTTTCTTTTCTCAATGAAGCTACATTAAGAAACATTTTCTGCTGTCTTGTACTAGAACCTGTTGTGTTTTTCCTGWTGTTGCTTGGCCATAATGYRGATAAMGCTCTTTGGCTACTTCTTGTCCTTCTACCAGCAATAACATGATGCCTTGGTTCATCATACGAYACATCAATCAARTTGCGTGCAAACAGACATTCAGCTTCAGTAGTGAGGCAGTTGTATGTTGTATGAGCAGTGGTTTTAGTGGTGTGGGATTGGTGAAGAAGGGTAGAAGATCCAAGTAGAATGGACACACCTAGGATATATGCTGCCAGACATGAGGAGATTGTCTGAAACAATAATATGAATATATCATTTATTATATTACACAGGGAATCAAAAATATATAAAGATGATATGTATACAAAATTGTAAAAATATATGAGACAAATACTATTTAAGATTTGTGTAGTTTGATGTGAGATGTTCAAAGCTGTTTTGCCATCAAATAATGTCTACTGATTCAAGAATGTGTTATTTGTTTGAGGCATAATAGTAAGTTACAATACAATAGCTTGATTGTGTTCCCAAAAGCAATTTTCCAACCTAATTTACAATGGTATGATAAAGATCTATAAGTGAAGGCTAAATAGGCTGGTTTATATTTTCACCTTTAGCAACTGATTCTGACATTSAAGTAGTATCTTCAAGATGTTTGGACATCCAAGAACAACAAACATGTCATGGTATGTCAACCATCCGCGGGATAAACCTTTGGTAATAGCCACCCTAAGGAAAGATAGGAACTGTTTCAAACTCTTACTGTGATCAATCTAATGCTAAWTACTGTAACCATTTGTTGGTGCTATATTTATAAGCAATGAGTTTGGCCAAGGCAATATCCAGTGTTTGAAAATGCAACATCTACAATGAGGAAAGAAAATTTTCCCAGTTTATATTTTGAGCAAATTTCCATAGTTGTGCACAAGGTAGTGAGTAAGTAGTACTTACCTGGACTCTATCTGACTGACAAAGTTGGAAAACTCTTCTTTACTAATAAAAAGGTTCCAGTCCTAAAAATAAATAAAAGAATCATAAATTATAGTCTAAACTATGATAAAACCATCCCTTTTTTTCTCTTTGTTTCMAGGTAAACATAATGGGAGATTCAAAATTATTTCTTGTTGGAAATACACACCATCATCCTAAGAAAATCTCTTTCCAGTTTGTTGATGTCTTGRGTAGTCTTAAAACCTGGGCAAATCAATTAAGAAGTATTTGATTAAAGCAGCCGATGCTTGATATATAGCTACAGCTTTGTCTTACCAGCTTTAGCCCAGTCATCATTATAAACCTCTTCATCTTCACCCTCATCATACAAGTACTTTGATGCCACCATCTAATTAGGATAAAAAATTATTCAATTAGACTATTTTAGTCATTTTAGAGTGTGAATTTGAGATAATACAATTATACATCAAAACTAGTGTTTTTTTTTTGTAAAAAATATTTTAGAAAAAACACTTGTAGTACTTACAATTGAAATTAAGAATATGTCTGAGGAGCTGAGATTTTTGCTCCACAGTGAATGCTTTTGACGTAATCGTTCAGAATACAACATGCCCATCATCAATGCACATGGTGAAATTTTGGCTCTCCTAGAGAAATCATTACTTTATCTCAATAGTTTATTTGAATAATTGAATAAATGAACATATAAACAAATGGATGAATAAATTGATAACTGATATGATGTACAAACTATRAAATGTGTTATTGAATGGACTTAGGGGAACATGGGCAGCCCAGTGGTAATACACAAGTTAGATGATTCTGTTCTACCCTCTAAAAATAAAGAATTTCTTAGAAAATTCTTATTATTTTGAATGAATAAACATTACCTTGAAACAGAGTGGGCATACTGCCTATCTAGAATTCTTTGATTTGGTGGTACGTAATTGTTAAGAACTTCAACAGCAACATCTGTAATAAGCCCAGCATCAGTTCATTGATGGTTTTCGCTAAGTATAAGTTTTGTTCTATTTGTGTTGATGCTTATGTTAATGCTTGTTTAGTGAAAACTATTCTTAAGATAATTCTAATTAAAGTTACTTCTCCCATCAATTCAACTGTTTCTGCTATTTTATCAATGTCGAACTTTCTCTTTATGCCAAAATAATGTACTTTATACATTTTTCATAAGGATTCTCTGAGCATAGATCACATACAAAGGAAACCCAACATAGAATGATTTAAGTTCTTAATTCATTGACACTTATTCGCAATTTTATCTCGTCAAAACTCGAAATAATGACTGGGAATTCTACTGAACCTTGAATACTAATAATATAAAAGAATTAGAATTTTTTTTATCTATGAGCCAAGTAAGTTACATAAGCTTAACTTTAACAATGAGTATATTATAACCACAGCTCTAAATTCACACTTCTTATATTATAATAAATAAACGGCCTAATACATTCTCTTCACCTGTTACCGACAACGAAGGCAAAGAAGCGTCTGAATACTCTCCATAATACAAAGACTTGCGGACACGCTTGGCGAATGCAACATGGTCCGCCATATTGGTTTCCATATCAAACTCCTGTAAAACGAATGTAGAATGCTATAAAATATTGCTCAGGACCCCGAGATAATAAAATTAATATCCAATTACCTGTAGGGTGGATTTAGAGCCTTTACAATAAGCAAAAGGCCAACAATTCATGCTATTACACGCAACAGATCACCTCGTTGCTACGAGATTATAGGTAGAAATAGAAATGACGTCCCCTTCAGACAACACGCGCCAACACAGGAACCCCAGCAGYAATCAAAGATGTTTCGATTTCTCTTTTTCTTTAGAAGTTAAATTGACAGAAAAGGCTGTTTACTGATGCTGTTCATTGGTGCGCTATTATTGACAAAAAAACAACAACAACAAAAAAACAAAACAAAAACAAAACAAAACAAAAAAAAAACAAAAAACAAAAAAAATAAAGTTTATCTGTAAAAAACACTGACTGACCACTTCATAAACCGAGCTATTTTCGTCTGTCAACTGCATTGGCTGAAATCATATGTCGATCATGGGCGTGGCTGCAATCTCAGTAGTTCCTAAACTGCATTACCCATGTATCATTTTTGCATATCATTTTTTATTTATTTATTTACTTCTTTTTCTTTTTTCACTTTAAAGAGTAAATCCATGAGTGCAAGAGTGCAAAGCCTATGCGATTCCTGGTCGTTTCAAGGGCCAGAGAAATATTGCGGGATATTATTGCCGGCATCGATTGGTGAATACACTTTCAGAGTGACAACTTTTTTGTGGTTAAAATATTTTGCTTTATTTCTAATTTATTATTTTTAAATGGATAAACTTCCCTGAAGGTTTTGTCCACACTTCACTGACCAGTACGTAAGGGTCATCTATATACAATGACTATCTGGCTATGTCCTGCAAACCGAGCAGTCAATATAAAACCAGTTATATTGGTAACAACTACTTGTTCAGTCTTAATATTAAATACAAATTGTCTAGGACCAACTTCAACTGTACTTTATCGATTTGATTTGATCAAATATAAACTAAAAAGTATTTTTGGTGAGTGAATTTGTTACTTGCAGGTATTKACGACACGCTTATTTCGACATTTCTTGCATTTCACCTCACAACACCAATAAAACTTGCAGAAACAGTTCTCAACTCTTTCCTGTACGCTTGTTGTATAGCCTCTCCCACAGCACATCAAATCACAACCATCCGTACCCATAGATGTACTGTTGCACTCGCGTCCAATCGTTCCTAACGAACCGGTGTCRGGGCTTCTTCGGCAGAAATTCGGAGATTCTTCGTAGTAGACGAGGTCGTGTATCGTAGGTCTTCGTARCCATGGCTTCACAGGGATAAAGATGGCAGGTGACTTTCGCTTCGTATTACGGTTGTTATTCATTTGGAATTCAACCATTGAGGCGTTGTCGAATTTCTTTTTCAACACTTCTCCAATATGACGAAAATCTGAYAGTCTTTTCCAGCAGGTTTTCACGGTACAAGCTTCAGATAGCCCATGACATTTACACTCCAGAATCATATTGTGACGCACAGCCTGAAAATGAATTAAAACATTTAAATCCTGAAAGAAGGGTTCATTTATATARAAAATGGTTGTCAAAAAAGATCAGTTGATTGCTGAAAAGTTAATATAATTTGGCAACAGCTACCTTCACATTTTCTCCACTCACTCACGGTATATCACAAATCATTCAAGAAATCGTTCAAATTGTTCAAGTATGATCTTCAGTGTATTCCATTCGAGGTTATATTTTGTTCAAACAATCATTACTTACCGCCCTTCCAGCCTCGTTATTATGCATGTTCACTTGCGCTCTGAAGTCTCTGCCTTTTTCACGAGCATCAACAAACTTGCGTGAAAAGTTGTCAGCAAAGTGGATATTRTCACTGCATCCACCCCATTGCCATCCTTCTTTACTGACACCGCGGAAGCGGCGATCACACGAACATGCTTTCAGTTTTCCCTCGCTACATGCTCTTGCAATGGAATGCGAGACTCCAGCTGATGTAATAGAATAGGTGAATGCAGTCTCCCGACAAGCTGAAACAAAATAAAAACACRAGTTATTGTCAAATCCAGCCGAGTTAACTATAGAATCTTACTTCTTCTATTCTGGATACAAAAAAAATCATCATTCATAAAGTGATACCAATATAATAATCTTAGCTCTATTGCAAAGACTATTTGGTTGAGTGCCTTAAAAGGAAGTGTATTTTTTTTCGTGCTAAGCAAATCTATTCTGAGATTCATTTTCTCCATTCTTTATAAATTGCAGAATTTGCATTATCTTATTCATTATCGAGTGCAATAACTCTTACTGRGCAATTTGATATTATCTTTTGCAAATAATTTCCGCACAAGATGTTTTCCCTTTCTAATGTGATTTTAGAATCATGCAACGACTACCATCAGATCTAGTTGTCCGGCCGCCACTTGTAAAAATATAAAACTTTTCTCATTTGTTACAAGGGTGTTTATCAATAGAGCTCAGCACTGTCTGCCAACAAGACTGGATCAATGCCTTTGTATCTGCCGGCCAATTATACCATGGTATCATCCAATTAGACGCGGCGCAAGACTCGGAATACCACAAGTTTTTGGTTGATTACTCTATGTTTCTCTCTTCTTCTGTATTGTTGAACACAGGTACATAAAACTTTACCCTAATGTTTTATTAGATTAACTAAGAATTCGCTGAGAGGCTGCAATGCTGTACTCAGAAAACCATTGGTCATTATTGACTGAGCTTCATTTCAATTCTTCTCGMACAAAATTGAAAATAATCAACAGTAAGCACAATTTTGTCAATTCCTTTGTCGTTTACATTAAAAAACATGGTCTTTTTTTATTTTTTTTAAGGTTTATAATACTAAAAGATCMCCTTGATCTTCAATAGTAACTCCGAAAAAAAATGTGAAGTTTCAAKTCTCCTTCCTAAATATATAAAATTTTCTCCTGTTCCAGAAAAAAAACTGWGTTATCTTGATTCAAAAACAATAGATGGTTTCATTTGACTCGCTAGATTATTATTAAAAACACGGTATGTCTTTATGAAATACCACAACATTCACACACCAAAACCGAGCGCAAAATCGGCAACAAGAACCGATCGGAAACAAAAAAAGCTCTAATTTCGCTGTTATAAAGGATTTTTTGTTCTTTTTATGTTGTACTACARTCTATTCCGTAAAACAGACAATGATTGTGGTCTAGATTACGGAAAGCTTGTTCATATACCGGATATCAGTTTCGCTATGACGGGACTTCAGTTAATGAGCTTTCTTCGCTAAAAAACCGGCAGATCAGAATTTCCGAGATGTTTCGTTCTTGACATTTAGCAATAAAAGGTTCTCCCCAGTTAAATTCTCATAATGTTCTAAGCGTTTTTTGCTAAAAAAAACTTTTCCGTGGCATCGAGTGGATCAGTATCAGTTGATCAGCGTCATTTCCACCATTACAAACATTAACCTGTTTTCTAAGCTTTATCGCAAATATCAATGTACGAAGACTCTTCACTTTATTTACACACTAAGCCTGGTTYCTGATAATATTTGTAGGTAAATACGAGCTATTTAGGCATGGACCAGTGAGTTGAACGTTGATAAAATACAAAGAAAACCTTTCTAGACGGCTAAGCAATGCCTATTGTGTGGACAATACACGTGAACAAAATTGCACGAGAGATGGATTCTTCGCTCTTTTAAGATTTCAAAATTCCAATGATTCAAACTCCGTTTTAAACGAAGTTGAAAAAGAAATGCTTTCAGGCAATCCAGTAAGATGTGAATCATGTCTGTGTCTTTGTAGCACGCTTTTGTGAAGATGTAGCTCACCAAAAACGCACAAAATGGATTTATAACTGATAATCCAGAATTTCTTACTCACCAAGATTTAGTATTTTACCAAATACATTTTCAGGGTTGTGTGCAGAACAATTCCACTTTCGATTTCTGAACTGATGTTGGCATTCAAGGATTGACTTCCTGGCYCCAGCAGCGATATACGAGATCAGCTCAGGGTATCGTCTTGAAAGTCTAACTTGCCTTTGAGTAAGAGCTTTCACCTGATTTGGCGGCGACAACTGGATATTATGATTATTTGACGTGTAATCAAATCCCATGTTCCTAAAATGACAGAAAACCAGTATTAGCGAGCTAAAAACTAATTTTACAAGTTGCTGCTAAAGACATATTTCACATACTTCTGCGAGGTGAAATCGTATGACGAGCAAACACCAACACTTGTTGGTTGAATCTTTGCTACTGTTTGGAAAAACGCTGGGTTTCTATTTTCTTTTTCAAAGTGTAAAGCAGTAGCTACTGAAAATTCCTTGGAATCCGCATATGAAAGTGAATGAAGAGACATTTTTCCGAGCAAGAAGGATTACAAAATGGGACACGATCATAAACGGACACGGAGTATCGCTTTCTAGCATAAGCTAGTCGACAGTTGTCAAGCAACTTGTACTGCAAATGTCAACTTTTGTGTGTAAAATCACAACAAATAACATCCTGTGTAATTTGACTTAATGAAAACTTTAACAAAACTTTCATAAACAAGTGAGGAAAAAAGATATCAAAGCTGATACCAGCTACTCGTCCTTACCACCATGAYAGCGTTTTGGAAACAAGTCCAGCAAGAAGACTGAAGAGGAACAGGAAGGCATTCAGCTTCATATTAGATTGACGTCCTTGAAGGAGTTTTAGTGTCGCTCAAGTCTTGACTATTACTAATCACTATGTCCGAGGTGTGTTTATTAAAATCACAAAAACAATGGATTATTAAACAATTTAAGCGACAACCACTTAAAAGACGTGATTTCAGAAGGTCTGCATAAAAAATAGCTGCAAACAATAGCGCTTAAAGTGTGAACTAATTGCCTCTAATTACCACAACGATTGAATCACATACCTGAATTAAATCTACACCCACAGACCCGTGCAGTCATCTCTTAAATCATCACATAGTATACCTGGAAAAAAAGCTTACTATGACAATCCTTAAGAGTAAATATTAGAACAGGCGTGTGCTTTTCGATAGGAAAATGTGTATAGCCTTGATCGGATCGGATAATCAATTCCGATGATTTTCCCTTTACCTCGTAACAATAACCAAGTCAGTAATTAAGTTGAACGACSSTACAAAGGAGCACCGTCATTCAATGAAAATATTATATGTTGCTCTTAACAACAGCRACAACCGTTTTTGTTCTCTCAAGAACCTAAAATAGCCTAAACATCTCTCACCTAGGATGGTTAATTGTCCCATTTATTAACACAAAGTGGAATTCAAGCATTAAAAAAAGAGTTTCGAGAGTAGGGAAACAATGAGCGCACGCTGTAATCACTGAAGGGAAATGTTCAAGGATGTGGCCAATTGATTTGAGGTTGAGAACAATATTACAATTCTCTACTTGTAACTTTAATGTCCCTCGTGTTAACCCAAACAAATTATCTAATAAATAACCTCAAAGATATGACGAGGCTTATTTGGAAATGAGCCGCTAGCACGTTCATCTCACGACACATACTTTCYGCAATTATTTCTCATTTTGTTTGAAGTTAATATTTWTATGAAAACACAGAATTTTCATCTTTGATTCTGGTCTGTTTTAAAACTTTTCARGAAAGGCATCCATTGTGTTTGATTTCACAAGGCCATGCAAGCGAGTAGGATCTGGTTCCTCGTGTTTTGCTCAACGCCAAACTATTTTAAGCATGAACTAATCAGGAAAAATTCAAGGTATTTTTAATATCTTATCATTTTTCGAGACGTACTTGTAAAAGTTGAATCACTTATAAACTCAAAATGGTGTTCTTTTGGAGCTGCATTGTAGTAACCGTTACATTTGGACGCTGATCACACTTGCACGTTCAGCTCATCGATAAACTCCAACTGCTTCCACACCACACCTTGATTCACCACTCGAATAACTTTGATTCGCAAGACAGAACGTTTCTTATTGCAATCTCCAAGGTTGACTTGAACATGTAATTTGTTTATAGGCGGTGTGAGTTATGCTGTGATTTTGTCACCAAAACGCTTAACTCAATCTAGACAGCTTAGCGTTGGGTTTTTGCCGCGTTATTATCAACGTATTCCCTGAGGGCATCTTCTGTATTCGCGGCTTTTTGCGGTAGGTGTGAGGCAATTAATGTAGCACCTTGCAGAGTATGTATAGCAAAATCATTAAAGCTTCTGTTAGAATTGCTTCAGAAAAGTATCCTTTGTGCAGACTGTTTTTGCAGCATTTTGTGAATGTTTTTCTGAAACGTACCAGCCCACGCATTCGTTACTGATGACACAATCTATATTTTTTAACAGATACCTGACTTTATTTACTTGTGTAAGTAATCTTTATCAAAATGGAAAATACTACATAAAGAAGGAAAAGKTGCTCTATGTGTTATTCGCTGAAAGTTTCAGTTCAAATGTACGCCGCTATATCATCGTTACGAAGTTTCATAATGTCCAGTTCAGTGTAACATGGTCTTGTAGCTGGACTTTTCCTTGTCTAGGTTTCATGAGAGAGTTTCAATGGCTGAAGTGAAATGGATTTGCAAATTACAATGGCGATCGAGGCAAGCTTAACAAGAAAGCTTTAGCCTATRAAATGACATTAGCCGGTCCCCAATTTGTATAAAGTATCCGAAGTCATTCTTAATTGGTCTCCTGAAGTAGGCCCGATATACCATCAACTTCTTTCAAACAAGCAAGAATGAAATCTAGCACGATGRTGGGAAACCATGTTTTGACTTTGACTTCGACGCGTATGCAACATCTTTCATGACRGCTAGCCTTTTCGTTTACAAGAAATGTGGGATAAAAGGTGAAAGATTGCTTGGAGTTTTTTGTGTTTCTGGGATATAAGTGACRCATCAAATTTTGACATACAGATCTTTGTATGATGAGCAACTGTGCTGCAACTTGCCTAATGTAAACAATTTTAAAAGAGAGTCAACGTCTTGAAAATATGTTAAAATGTTTTTCAATGTTTAAAATACTGCATTATTGTTTTCTTTTGAGTGGCGCACCGTTTCGTGACCGCATGAGTATAGTGAATGCCATCGCCGTACCTTGCATCCTACCCTGCATTAGTCATAGTACGATATAAATACTATACACACATTGAGTCGCTTACATGCTTACCGAATGCGCCGCGGTAAGTTTTCTATGACTTAAGATAGCATGATTCTCTTTAAAGGATAATTAAGAAAGTTATTAAGATGTATCACGTGAGGWTGATTGCCAACTCATGACTAACGGTGATATGATTCATTGATATCCTACATCGTGATTGCTTCTCGTCATACAGATTCGGTAATAAAACTGTATTTTCATCACTAACACTGTGACGTGTAACATGCRCTATTGTGGCTGAGTTGACCTTATCATTTTACCTGCGCACCATCGGCATTGATGAAAAGCGCTACTTCAATAAACAATTTATATTCGACTTAATGCGTGACTTTTAAGCAYGATGTGAATAAATTAGTTACCAGGGTCAACTAACCGCATTTCAAAAGAAAACGGAAGAGAGAGATATAGAAAGAAAGAAAGAAAAAAAAATAAGTAAGAGACTCGCTTACGTGATTCAAACYAAGCCACACCAACAAGGGAAAGATCATTCGATACATAAGGCGCATGCTCCTTCCCTTACGCTACCTAACCACWCTAAGACCTCTAACAAAAGAAACGATTTTTAACTGATTGTTTTAAAAGATAGCATCTTCATCATCYATAGGSRCACGGTAATGAACCTTCACACTCACGTTCTGTTGAAAATCTKTTCTTCACTGCTGAGAATAAAAAGGCAGCGGATATGACGTCAGAGGGTGTATATAATTTGTGACAATAGATGCGCGAGTTTGGGATAAATCAATACTTCGTCGGCACGTAGCTACACGACGGGTACTTGTGGGTTGAGCTTTTGATTGAGTTTTTTTTAGATAACAGGAGCGGTGGGTTAGTTGGGATACAAGTACTCAATGATGACTACTGTCAGATTCGTYTTTCGCGCAATTTATTATAGCAAAAGTGAGTCAAAACTCTTTTGTGTTTACGAAGGGAAAATGTTGTATAGTATTRCCTTTTCCATCAAATGTCAAAAGGCCTGAAAGCCACAATTCCAATCATTTCTATTTTTCTACAAAGGTGGCCTTTGGGACTTCATGCCCAGATTGATGCTAGCATGTATATAAGTAAGTGCATYAAGTATAAATGTCAATGCTGACAGTCCGACTATGAATTGTTGAGTGTCAAAATCTGGTAGTTTTTATATTGTCAATGGGACAATAAATCAAGAATTCAGTCGGTATCAATTCAGTGCCTTGGAATCCATCATCCCGAGCCGTGAGAGATATTTCCTCGATATACATATTTTATTGACATACTTTTCTTCGTATGGAAAAGCAGTAAAAATAACCAACTATACAGCAGTATTTGAGAGAAAAGGTAAGAAAGAAGAAAGTAAAATCTTCTGGACACCAGTGCTGAATAGGAATACCCATAGTACTTTGCTGTAGTGATTCAACCAGCTTTATTCAGACAACCTACTTTATAAAAATAATGTGAATAAAATCAACTTTATCAATCCATACAGCTCAATTGCGCTCTCCAATATGTTGAAGAAGAACTTATTTACAATATTTCACACATTCGCTTACTAATAAAAAAATAAACATATACAAAAATGAAAAAAAGCATTATTAAAAATGGGCATGTGAAAAGCTAGCTCGCTCTAAATGAGTACTAAATAAGCATCAAGTTCCGGTGTAAAAATGTTGGTCAAATAAAAGGGTGTTGGATATAGACATTCTCGAGACGCAGATATCGCTCATTTGTTAATATCTTTGATGGTCTCACATCAARCATCCTAAAATAACTGCGTACCGGATTTTTAGAACCAGGTTTAGTTCTATATCTATAATTACAGGTATAGTTGTGCAATGTGGGAAGCATTAAAAGAGGATATCGTAATCGTGAATACTAATAGGGGTCCGGACTTAATTGAAATACCGTTGTCTCGGAATAGCGCCGGATTATTTGATAATCAAAAAAAACCTGTCGACATTGGATATTTCAGTAGTTTGGCCTATGAATAAATACGTCATGTCGAGCTAATGGACSRTGGTTTTTAAGGTCTTTTCATATAATTGGATTGCAAAAGAAATCTACTGATGCGAATTTTATGATCTGATCCATAAATAGTATTCCATGGAATCAAACCATTTGTTAATAAAGTTTTATAATGGTGGCAAAATAAATATTGTATTATAACGCGATGTAGATATTATACATATATAAAACAATAGGTCTGTCGCGAGTCATTGACAGTGTTATATCATTCGGTTTCAACTTGCCATTGATCAATGGTAAAACACACCGGGATGTTAGTTAAGTGACAAAGAAAAAACTTAAGTTTCGTCATTTGAGTCTATTTCTTCGATTCGATAAAGAACTACAAGCTTCTAGCCTTTTTTGTGCCGCTTTTAGAATATAAAAAGATGCCATCCCTTGAGAGAGCGCGCCGGTTATTATACTGGTGAAATAAATCACACTCTGTTAGACCAATCACTGCGCGCGTCAAAGCAAACAAATTGAAAATCATTTTATAGAATATAATCGAATCTTTCAAGATTACTTTAAACTGTTTTGCGAATTTGGCTCTTACTGAATTYCATGTTTCAGGTCAGCGCAAGGTTAGTGCATTGGGTTAGATAGCTTTGAGTTGCATCCTCTGAGGGATGGAGTGCTGCGGACATTTAGAAATAATGAATCGGGACCAGACACATTAATGTCAGTATTTCTGCATGTTTTACACTCACAATACAACTTGCAGCTACTTGTTTAAGGGAGGAATTAAAGCCAGTCGACCTGATGAAAACTATTGAGAACTATAATAAAAAATCAGCTTACAAAATCAAATAAAAAATAGGTATTAGAGATAAAAGACCGGCATTTTCTCAGGCCATCTTTACTCTAGAAAAATCTCTTTACTTGGCTGGGTCTTTATGAATATAACAAGCAATAAAAACGATGTTATGCTTATAAGGCAACCCTTTTAGGAGACGTATAAAGTGAACATCTCTTTTCATTTTTCGCTATCTAAAGAAAGCGTTCATTGTGCTTCTTTTCAAGCAATTATAACTGGTTAAGCCAGAAATTCAATAATGAAACGACAAAAGATTCATTAAATGAAACTGTTTATACTCCTYTTCTGAACAGTTTTTTGATGGTGTTTAATTTTCCTTTTTTCATAACAAGACGTTTTAACACTAGGACAAAGATATGTATATAATACAAATAAACAGAAAAATTTGAAATGTCCATTCACTAAACTACCAAACATTACTTCTTTTTTAAAATACGTCTCCAGAACTGTCTTCAAGAAAAAATTAAAATTTGTTCCGGGATATGATTCAAGTTCATCTGCATAAGGCTGTGCTTTTCATAAGGCCACATTTAATTAAGTAGTAAGATTTAAAAGCAACAATCAAGAAGGGTATGTTTTTGACGTCTAGTCAGGTAGATATAACCTGTCTGAAAGTGGGGTAAAGTTTCTTTTCATGTCATTTCAAGGTCTAGTCACTCGATCGCGTCATAACCTGCAGTTGAGTTAGCCTTTCGTAAGGAGCAAAGAAAAATAGCCATTTTATCGACTGCAGAGCTTATTCAGTGTTTAAAATCAAGTCATTAAACCCATGAAATAGACAATTCCTAATTCCATTGTTTTCTTTTTTGTCTATTTGACTATTACACCTTGACGGTTCAATTGTCTAACTATCTTAACCATAAGCGGTATTCTGCTATGCTTGCCAAAAGTGGACCCAGTGGTCTATTGGACTCTCTTTAAACTACTAAGCAGTATTTGAATCGTTGAAGTCCTCAAAAAAATTATCTGGCTAGCGTACGATACTAGTACTGTTAACAAACGTCTTTTAACCCAAGGCAAGTTTACACGCGATGTAAAACAAGCTTGACGCTCTAAAACGTCATGACAAGTTTGTATTGAATTAAAGCGCTACTTTATTGACATTGATTTTCAGTTAACAGTCAACAGTGTTTGTATATCCACTTTACTGATTAAGACGTTTTACAGAAGTGATTATACCTAAGGTTCCTGTGCAGATGCGTCACTAACAATGCTGTATTAACGGTTTTTTACAAATAAAACTGCATGGAATCCTAAACACTGTTAAACTCCCAACTTGATGAAATCACAACAAATACTTTTCCTGTATTATCAGTCGATCGAGGAGAGATAAACGGTGCTTTATATTTCCAATTGATAACTGTTATATGTTGTCAAGTGATGTTGTTTGCTTGATTTATAAACTCTTATGAAAAGTTCATATCCATAAAGTGTTTTACCGGTTTGCTTCCGTGTTTGTTCACTCTAGAAGACGCCAAATAACAATCARTAAACACATCCTGAATATAATGCCAAAGAAAAGAATTTCGGAGTTTCGAATGATRACAAACCTAAAAACGAAAAAGGTTAAAAAACTGTTTTTCTCGGTTGTCAAAGTCCGCCGTCGGTTTCTCTTTGTGAAGAAAGCAAAAACTGGAAAAAGATAATTCGATTCTTTACCTTTATTTCTGAAGTTTAAGAGTAATCTAGTAGATTTTAAGTATGAATCGGTCATTCAATAAAGGCTATTATTCTTGTAATTTGATTTATTTCAGTCTAAATAAAATTATATTGAAGAAATATTATTCAGACAGCTCTATGAAAATAAGCAGCCATTATTTGCTAAATAATGAAATCATTATTTATAGTTTAGTTCTCATAAAACACAAATTCCATATAATCTGGTAATGAAGACGTCCAAGGGATGGCCCAAGTGCCTTTAATACCATTGACTCAAASTCATTACAACAACCATCGAGAAAACAGTCTTAAGTCAATCATGTATTAATATAAAGTGAGCGAAAAGCATCTCTGGTTGTTTTTCTTTCCAGGAAAGTTGCTCGAGGCTTAAATTTGAAATTTTATTGGGATGTAAAGAGTTAAAACTAGATTTTACGTACACAAATGTACTAGTGTCTTTCTCCTGTAGACACATAAATGATGTTTAATWTAAATAAACTCACATAAATTTCTTAATTGATGAGCTGAAAAGTGCGTAATTTAAACAACAAGTATAATACACCGTTTAACTGAGATGTGCCACTGTGAATTTACAAAACATTACCAATTCAATTAGTTTATTTTGATCAAAATTGGACATCAACACACAGCAAGTTAGATGGATATTACACACATCAACCAACTGAGAGATTGCCCATCAAGGTCAGCYCTAATATCGGCTCAATTCAATTCGCTGCAGAACGGAGGGTTCATGGCGGCAGAATAATTCATCTTTCGTAATTACTTCGAATGTTTTTTTTCTTGGTCTCAGCGAAGGGCACCTGGAAATAAACACACATCTCTCTATGCCTTGTTCGATGGATATACCATAGCCGGTCCATATTGTAAAAAACCCGTCATCTGGGCTATTTCCCACGTTCACTTGCTCAAGGACACAGTGATGGTGTTTTCCGCTTTTGAAGCTAATATAGCCTTTCACCTACGGAAAGAAAAGTTAAAATAGCCTCGACCATTAGAGATTTGAACACAGGCCAGACAGGGAGGCGGAAATCTCACAAAAACTGAGRCACTTCTTCTTGTSATATTTTCAAAGCCTTCTTGGCTATGATATAAAGGCTAATAAAATGCCAGTTGATTGTTCMTCAAACAATCAGGATCTTAARGGACTATTATAGCAATGACAGCCCACACTTTGTTAAATGTTTTTCCATTGCTCCAATTAGGCATTTTGCTGACCATTTTATCCTTCAAATCTACTGAATTTGACGTTTTTAAACTACTGAAAATGAAATGTTACTCGTCTTTTAACAAAACAAAACGAAACTTATTGTATCAACTAGTTTGCTCATATGTAGGGAAACATCTTTGGAGTTAAACAATTTTATTTGCCAATCATATAGATAAACTTTAATTTGAAACGCTCGAAACAGCTGAAAATGATCACATAATAAAAGTGTTCATATGAAAATTATGCGAGCTCAGTGGTTGTTCTGTCAGTGTGTTAATTGTTGCTGTATTGATAAATGAGTCAATTGCTTCAGGCATTACGGCTAGAATATTACTCAATTTCTTACGATCAAGCAGCTTTCAGCCGGTGCTTGGGTCATTAATGACGGCTAAATGAGTATTTCTCGAAATAAGCTCTCCATTAAGACTATTTCTAAATATTAGTTGCTAACTTCAAAATCTATATTTTTCAATTTGGCGAATAAAGTGTACTATATTACACGAATCGTTTCATTTTTGATAACAAATACCAGTTGCTCGTTCAAAAGACAAGTATCACACTTTTTCAATATTATAATTTTGACAGTTTAGTGTGAGAAAAGTGATTTAAAAAACTCGTTTATATTTGTAGCAGTCTGTTGAACAACAAGAGTTTATAYAACCAATTTTACAAATAAAATAATATATTTGGTTTTAAAGTGAGAATTCCTCAATATTCTGTCATGATTATTTTGTTTATAAAGAATAATTTCTTAATTTTGAAGTAATAACAATCTTATTGAAAAGATTTCAAAAATTTAACACTCGGTGAGAAATTAGCCCGTCTCTTCACCATTTAAGGCAATTTAGAAAAGGAAGATCCGAGTGGACCAATGGGTACGTTTGATCGCTATTACCCTAAGCATATCGAGGACACGATTAATTCTAGCAATGCCAGCCCGATGGCTTAGTAATCATAACTGCAGTGTCCCAATTCAATTACCAATCTTATTAAGACGAATGTCCTAAAACTCTCTTTATTGGCTAACAAAAGTGTGATACGATGGTTTAAAAGACGAGGGCGTCGTCCCAGCTAATAGTTCTTAATAATAGTATGATGTGCGATAAATTTGTGAGCATTATAACTCAAGGAATAAAACGCGTCAATATAGTCTTCCGACAATACTTAGAATTCGATGACAGTCGAACCTCCTAAAAAAACGCTATTTACAACAAAACAACATATTAATCATGAGAAAATCCAGAATATTTACGATGTTAACTAGTAATTTAGTAAAATAAAATTGTTAAAGTAAAGGGAGGGAAAGATATCTCTGTTAATAGATGGCACATTTACCTGATTTCTGACATTTCATTGTCGCTAAACTGTCATTTTATAGAGGTATAAATATATACTGCCATCAAACAAACCACCATCATCACAAAACATTTTTAAAGAGAATTATTATAAAAAACAGTAGTTTTAGGAACATTGATCCCTTTTTGATCTCCGCACTTATCGAATTACAAGAACTCAATTAACCAAATTAWKGACTATATACATGAATAGATGAAAAGTGATTTGTCGTTTTGTAATTTGCAGCTCTCTATTACTTCCGCAGAGGACCGAAATGGACCATATTTTGAGATTATTTAAGGCCAGGTCCTTTTATCTCTTTTAAATAATACATAATTGGTAAAGCCATTGAGAGGCAATCATAAATGAGCCGAAGCCTCGTTTCCTTTGAAAATTGCCTTGCAAGCCACGGTATTGTCTTTCTTATAAACCTGGTGGAAATTCCATTTAAGACTAGGATCACGTGAGCGGACGACGAAATCCTTAAAAGTAGGCAACGTTCCTTTTATGAGTCACAGTCGGTGAACATGCAGAGAAACAAGAAATCTTTCTCAGTAGAATCCTTGATTTCACATGTGGACSCGAACGAGAAACTCGATGATCAAATCATTACAATGCCTCTTGGTTTAAATCAAGAACCAGCTTTGCCATCCACCTTTGTAGAAAACGATCCAGAATCGACGAGTGGTAAAGAAACCTCAACCTACGTAACGATTGGCGACTTAAAACAGAGAATCGATAACGAAGAGTCCAGCCCCCATCAAGGTATGACTATTATGGTTTATTAATCAAGCTATCGATAGTAAAAGGCATTCTTGCCGGTATATATACCACTCAATTTAACTACCCTACCTAAGTATATATCGCTATGGTTTAAAGGCTTGAAAGTTAGTTAAACAGTGGATAGATTTAGATTGAAGATTAAGTTAAAATAACGAATCCACACCCACGCTGTAGTAATATCGTTATCGGCTTAGAACCGCTTTTGGTTAATCCTCTTCTAGTTGTATATTAAGATAAAATAAAAACTTTGAGGATTCAGTAGGTTCGGGTCAGAACCAATCTTTTCCCTGACAATTCTAGGTTCGATTTCCATCCCGGGTATATATTACACGATATTCTTTACATCAGTTGAGGAGAATTTCATTAATTGTGTTCTTCGTTTCTCTTGTCGAAATCTAAGCACCGCGTGTAGTTTCGTATTTTAAAATCATTTCATGAATGAAGCGAAATTGGACGTTAAATGACGAACATCTATTTCACTATGATGACTGMCATCAAACATTACTTCTTCCCTTTTTAATTCAATTTTTCTTTTTCGGTCAATTTTTCTTCTTTTTTTCTTTGCGTTAAAATCGTGATCTATTATATCCATTGCCTACAAATTCATATAAGTAGCATTTTATTGCTATTCCTTAGGAACATCAAGTAACGAAACGGCACGTACCAGACGATACCGCACTGCYTTCACCAGGGAACAATTAAACCGACTTGAGAAAGAGTTTCTAAGAGAAAATTACGTGTCAAGGACCAGAAGATGCGAGTTGGCCAATTCTCTTAACTTATCAGAAACAACTATCAAGATATGGTTTCAAAACAGGCGAATGAAGTCTAAAAGGCGGCGTATGGCTCTTGGACTCAAATCAGTTTCACCTTTATGCTCTACGGGATACATGCCAGGAGGTGGCCCTCGTGCAGGTCCATTTTACAGCGGGCTCCATTACGTCCCTTGGTCGTATCCCGTGAGTACCCCACTGTGGACGTCCCCTCACAGTGGCCATTTTCTACATAACGATGCTTGTCACCATGGTCACCAGAACCCACCCGTAACAACACACAGACCACATGAATCACGCCCTGTCACGTGCTTGTATCCATGGTCAACTAACCAAGATACCAATCAAGTAGAGTGAAATAGAACTGTCTGTAAATAGGAGCGGCTTTCACATCTTGATATTGTAGATATCCCTAATGGTGTCAAACAGTCCTTATTGTGAACAGCTTGTCTATTGAATAGGCTTTGTTCAACCGTCACTTGTAAATCAATGGAAACACTCAATATCGCTGTCATTGTACATTCTCTGTCAATTTTTCTAGTTCATCATGTAAAGTATTGAATAAAATGATGATTGATTTAGATTAGAAATGTCACTAGATAGAAACACAGAAATTAATGGATAAAATAAATATACGAGAATAAAACAAAAACAAAGAAACAAATTTATGAACAAATTACAACAGACAAAACTGAACGATGAAAGAAACTAATCTTGAAAAAAGTTACATAATGCGAACTGAATAGAAGGATATGAATATTTTTATTGAAAGAAAAACTTGTTGAATACATTCTGCTAGTATATAATCGACTAGATCGAAAAAAAAAATACACATAAAATATTAATTCTCGTTACAGGTGCGAGACATTTTCTATTATTTAGGAATAATTGATAATTCGTTAATTGCATTGTAACACTGATCAAAATCCTGATTTTTTGCAAAACGTGGCAGATTATTCAATATATCTTTAAATTTCAATTGCGCAGTCACGTTGAAATCAAGATATAGATAAACTACATATAAAATACGATTAAGGGACGCCATTTCTAATGCTGTTTTTGCATGGTTTGCTATTATTCTCATCCCATTTTAAATTTCTTGAAGGGTCTGCTCTTGTTATCAAATAGTAATCTCTTGGGTGTGGTCCACATCCAGTCCAAAAATCTGACCACTCGCAACTTCTGGATTTTCCTGCAAAGACGATTTGTCTGGAAAAAGTACTTGATTGTCCCCAACTTCTGTAACCACCAGTTGAACCATATTACCCTTAGAAAAAAGATTAGTATATACTGAAGAGGGGAGACGCATCCGGCACTCCTTCTTCTCAAATTAGCTAGTGCTGCTTCACGTTTGTCTGCTTCGAAATCTTTGCTGAGTCTCATGCTAGAGGCACAAGCTGGGGAAAACATAGCAGTCACCCAGTCCCGTGGGTTGCTTTTCAGTAACTCCTGACTGAAACACCAGCTTTATCTGCTAAATCGTCTAAATAGGTGTAAGATTCCACCAAGGTGTCGAGCCTGTGGGAGCTGTCCTTGAAGTAGTTACACCAGAATTCTTTGTCTTGGTTAGTTTCATTGGCTAAAGCACCATTGTCTGCAAGCTTCACTAAGCCACTGAAAACACGAGCAACATACATGGCCTGCAATTCGGCTAATATCGGAATTGACCCGACAATAGGGCGAGTATAGCCTACAAATGCAATGGAGGGATCGTCGACGTTGAAAATAAACTTGTAAAGATTTGACATCGGGACCTGGTATTTGGTTGGAAGGAAGGGAAACCGCCTGTAATAACCAGTACACTGTATCACGACATCAACTGAATCAGCTTGGCTTCCATCAGAAAACACCACCTTCTTTTCTTTCACACTTTGTATTGCACCTGTAAAAATGAGAAATTCAGCTTTTGTACTGTAGATTCTATGAAAGTAATTCCTCTTTACAACATCATTAATAACAACAATAGCAGCAGCAACAACAGCAACTATTACTACTACTGCAAAAAACAAACAACAACAACCTCATCATCTTCATGAACAACTACACCTATAGCAACATCATCCTGATCATCGACAGCCACAATAAAAAACTGTTTAAGACAAACCTTTAGGAACAACTTTGTCATAATCCACCAAATCCAATACATGCCCGTTTTTATTTATAAAGAAATGAAAAAAATCTGCATTGTTTTTCCATTCTGGTATGCCGTGTCCTTGATAAGCCAGCAACGAACCGGCGGTGGTCCAGAAACAAACCCAGGATAGACCTGAATGAGAAGAATGTAATTATACTTGGTTAGCATAGCATTGAACTTGCCCTTCTTGCTTTTTATTCGCCTCTAACCTGGTTTTCCCTTGGTAAACGGAGCAAGAATTTTTATTGCTCTTGATGATGCCTTGTCCAAGGTCTGAGCTGAACGATGGGGGAGAAGCTTGGCATACTTTCTGAAAAAATGCTGACCACGGGGTATACACCAGATAATTTTTTTTAGCTCCCCCATCATGCCATTCCTCTACTATGTCTGCTGCCGTCTCACCGCCGCCGAAAATCAACACTGTTTTGTTTTTGTGAGTTGTGATGAAAGATTTCAAGGTTTGAGAGTGCATTATCTCGCCTGTGTATTCAGCAAATAGAGTTGATTCGAGTTCACGGCGAGGACTTTGATTTGCCCCAGTACACAACACCAAGTTCTTACTGATGTATTTTGTGCCCTCTTCTACTATCACCTCCCACTTGTCGCCCATTTTATCAGCGCTTTTGACGTCACAACCAAAACAAATATGTTGACGAAGTTTAAAATGAGCGCAGTAGTCATTGAGGTACTGCAGGATTTGGCTGTGAGTAGGGAACTCGCCCATTTCATCTGGCATCGGAAAGTCAGAAAACTCAGTAATAGAAGAAGAAGAAGTGCATTGTGTTCTTTTCATGACTGAAACGATTTCAGGGTCATCTGTATAGCACCACAGACCTCCAATGTTTTCTCTCTTCTCCAGGACGATAACGGAAAGACCAACTTCTAGCATGGACTTGCATGCCATTAGACCTGACCAACCCGCGCCAATAACAACAACGTCGCGATACACTGGTTGAGCTGCCATCGTGCAAATCTTTGAAGTAAAGAGATTATAATTGTCTATTGAGAACAAAACTCCACATGGCAACATAAACGCAGTTGCATTATTCAATATTTCCACCTCATTTCAATATATTTAACCAAAAATGCGTATTAGTCGAGATGTGTATAAGATGTGTTTAAAAAAAATTCAGTGTTCCAATAGGTATTCATTTGTAGCTTCAAAGCCTGTCCAGGTTTTGGCGAAATTCTGAACCTTGGAAAAAGGGCGTGTTTAGTTTAGAATTCAGGTCAAAGTCCATGACATGTAACAATATTTATAGCTACAGTCAATGAACCGCATACGACAACTTATCGCATGTTATCAACACGACATTAGCATATGTAAGATCTGATTTTACAGCAACAAGGCCTCAATCGAACCCTTTTCAAGATCTGAGATATTAGCAGTGAATCCGATAACAGCTCTGCAAATAGTAATTGTCATCTTGAAGAATCTAACACCTAAAATCTACACAAGAACCTCTGTAGAGGCTCAAAAAAACAAAAATTCTTTTCTTAAACTAGAAATTATGAAAATTCATCGATATGTAACCAGATCATAATACTTTCTTGACGATTTTTTATTTGTAAAATAAAAAAAAGTTATTCAAACAAGGAAGTGACCGGGCACAATCCCAATGTATAGTTTGCAGTGAAAGTATATCAGTGTTTAATAGTAACTATTAGGGTGTACTAGGCTACCAAAAGGCAAAATTAAAACCTGTTTGGTCTAGTTTGTTTGTAAGTTATACTATTGGGAGCTAATAGGGGGTAATAGTATTTAATAGTACAATTCCTATTTCACAGACGGATGAAAATGACTCTATACGATTCCAAATCAACAACTGTTCCCCGTAAATGTGAGTAAAGTTCTAACGCTCTTACCTTCGTCAACGATGATCGATGTGGAATGATAGGCGTGATTGTTATTGATTGTTATGCAGCTCTTTCAGCTGAAAGAATGCGTTTTGATTGGCTCTTATAACCTGAAGTTACTGGAACGTTTCAAGGTTTGAGTGGAGGTAGCTATACATAGTACAGGACGAACAACAGTGAAAAGGAAACGAAACGGTTCTACAGAGAAAGACGGTAAAAATTCGTGCCAAACCTTTAGTTTAGGATAATATTTAATAAAATGATAAACTGTTACAACGGTTTAGAATTAAATTTCATGGTTCAGAAAAATCAAATCATATTTTGTTTTCTTTGCGTCTGTTTTGTTTTGTCTTTGTTGTTTTCTAGAGCATTACAAACCAGAGAAATATAACTGTAATAGAAACATCACGTTGTTTAATGTTAAGTTATAAACAAGATCAAAAAATTTGGGATTAAAATTTCCTTTCTTATTATATTATCATAATCCTAATAAATCTTAATTTTAGAAATATTCAAAATTTCCCTTAAATGCATGAGTGACAGCACGCACAACAAACATGTATCTAGCACAAAACACTTTTAAAGTTTATATCTGATTTCTAATTATCAATTCAATCCAACAATATTGAGTCTATTGAGTCATCTACAGAGATTCAGTTAGGTGCGGTAGCCAAATTCCATAGTCTTTAGAGATGGGACCTTATATACGAGACAATATGACTTCATATGGTCGAGTAAGAACTACGGAAGCAAACGGCAAAGGAATGCAAGAAGTTGCTAATTGTGTATTGTATAATCCATCCATCCCATTGGTTTAAACAAGAAAATCTGCTATAATTTCACAAGTTAGCGCATTTTCCAATACTTTATTTAATATCTGATTCCGACTTCATGAAAGCTTTCTTTAGCTACAATATCAATAGCAATTCTATGTGGGGAACATAGCAAATTAGAAGCTTCTTTTGGCTATTGTTTTGAGTGCTTATGATTGGATAAGAGGTTTAAATACAAAAGAAACTTTGTTTCAAAATAGAGTTTATCCACATTTTATTTCAAAAATGTGTTAGCCATAGGTTGATATATAATCAGTGTGAAACCAAGACATTCGTATGTGGGGAAGTTGCAATGCCGCAGAACAACAGATTCCCTAGTTCTTATGCGCATTGTTACCAAGTCCATGTAAGGCTCGCACGCTAACAGTCTTCACAAACAGGAAAATCAGAAAATAACTTTTTCAAGTTAAAGACCGACTTGTCGCTTTATCACATAACAACTGCCTGTAGTCCATTGGATGGTAGACGGAACAAAATTCTTTCAACAAAAAAACTAGTTCACGTATTTCGGTAAATTGCAACTGTTTATTTTTCCCTCAAGGAAATGCGAAACATTTTATGATCAGCGAAGCATACACTTTTGTACCAGACCGCTTACAAAAAGCTGAAAAGACTGTGGGCTTGATAATGCGTAATCTAACAGATAGATCCATCGGGCAAACATTTGGCAGCATTCATCCTTAATAAACAAACCAGGCTTTTTGTTCTTTGTATTTATTTTTAAAAACGCTTACATTATAAACACGATTGGATAATGCATGACTATCATGTACAACAATTTCAACAAAATAACACGAACAAAACAGCTAAAGAATGTGCCATCTTTAACTATAAATTGACGATCTGATCACATTCTGGATTCACTTTATGCTGTAATAATTGTATCTATTTTCCTGAAATCATGCTGATCTAGATCACTATGGCAAGAGTTTTTACACACATGTGAATATGCATTTGTACATTATATGATGGACGATTACATTTGATAACGATAAGCATATCCATCTCAGCTGTGGCTGCAGATTCTTCCGATTAAGTAAATTAATGTGCAATGTTGGCATTTTCCCGATATAAGTATCTTTACTGAAGTAAAATAATGGTGCTTGATTTACTATTAATAGAAAAGATGTCTCAACAGTTTTTTATCGAAGCGTGTAATAATGTTACTTGTAGTCACATTATTATAAAACAAATTTCCAGACAAAACATGCAATCTTTTTTGTTAATGAAATGCACTACAAAGTTTACGGCGCTTTGAGGAAGCTGAATAAGAAATATGCTTCTTTTAAAAACTAGTTAAGCTTTGTTCTTTCTGTTATTTTCAAAGGCACTTTCGTTTATATATGGACCATAGAAATGGCATTCAGATGACGATGAAAAGGGCGGCAAAAACTAGATATACCATTCTTGCTTTGGTTTGGAATCGTCTGGTGCTGCTGCGGCAGCTGGCATGGGTTGTAGATCTATGAACGGTTCATTAACTTTGCCAGCATCATCTTCATGAGTATGGTAGACACCCTTGTGTTTAGCGTAGTACCAGTAGATAAGAGCAAGGACAGCAATAATGGAAAGGATGATAAGCAGAACGATGATTACAATAATGGCGGTGTACTCATCATCTATCTTACGCTTTCCTTTCTCTGGACCACCTGGCGGGCCGGGAGGAGGAGTAGTTGGGCCGTGTGGTCCTGGAATAGGTCTCGTAGGGATTGGAGGAACCTCAGGCTCAGGACCGCACTTTTGTCGTGCGATGCCAACTGATTGCATATCTTTCTCGTTTTTAAAATCGTACAACGCCCACTTGATGGGTTCGACCGTTTCTTCCTTGACTTTCCTTGTCGGCCAGTTAGTGACTTTTACGCCAGAGATACAACCTTCAAAGCGACCACGTCCTGTCGAACCGATAATCACTTCTTTTGGTTTCTTGAAAGGAACACTAAGTTTGGGAACATCTCTCCTGATCTCATTTCCACCATCGACTTTGTACACAACTTTATCGTACATGCGCTCAATGGAAAATGAATGCTTTCTTCCATTGCAGAACGATTTTCCATCTGCCAAGTCACTGTCGATCATCAATGCATCTTCTTGTTGCTTGACTCCTGGATGTGAGAAACTAAAGGCAAAGCGGAGTCGATCTTTTGTGTCGATGGAAACCGAGAAGTAATCTCGTTCGTCGACGCCATTCATTCGCATGACTGTGCCTGAACATTGCTTCGTCTCGAACCCAACTGCAATATCTGTACCATAAGCGTCTTTTTGTTCCACAGGCCAAGTGTATTTCAAAAAGCTCTCTTTTTCTCTGAATGTAGCTCCCCAATCTACAAACATGACAGGAATAGTTCAATGGGGTGATTTAAAATTAATCCTAGGTCACACTCTGTTCATTTTTTACAACTATACCACAAGAAGAATTAATTTTTATTTTTACTTGCATGACGTCAAACAAGGTGTAAGTGAAAGTCAAGTAGGAACGGCTTAGTGGAAATTGTAAGAAACAGACTAACCTTTTTCACAGTAGTAGCCATAATACGGAGTAAGCTGACAATCACAACGGAAAATGTTGTAATCATCAACGCATCGAGCACCTCCTTTGCACGGATTTTTATCTTTTTTACAACCTCCTTCACAGCCTGGATTCACATAACGAGAAAACTCGGCAAACTTGGCAAGGTTGATTATTCGACCATTGATCATCTACGAAAAAAGGAAGAGGAATGAATACAAAAATTCTAAGCTTGATGATGATAAAATAAGCAGAAACCACACTATACGATAGTACTCTTGACAGAAACATAACCATGTTTTAATAACGATAAAACACTTTTTAACAATGAGCTTACCAGTCCCCTCATGCATCCCACAAATCCTTGCATCAGATCTCTCATATAACCACCAATGTACAGGTTGCCGACAACATCTAACTGTTTGCTGGACTGTAGTGGATTCAGCATTGTTTTCTTGACTTTATCAACTTGCAATATAAATTCTTTGATGTTGAACCACACATCAACTCTGTGCCAAAGTCTGTTTGTGTTGAGTTCGTTTTCAGTGACTCTGACAGTTAACGACCGCACACCGTTACCAATGTCAAAAGTCAAAGTGACTGAGTCATTGCCAGTGATGGCAACTCTAATGAAGTCTCTGGTGTTCTTTGTTTTATCCCCTTGATGGAAAAGGATGCCTCTGTCATAAGGAGTACGAAAGAACAGGGAGATGTAGCCATTATCCCCATCAAGAGTCCCCTCTCTATATCTGAGTTCAATGATCCCATCCTCTCGAGTAAATGTTGCAGTGTTGTTTGGACGACCTGTTGGGTGAAGAAATCAGTTGCGTTATACTTAAGTTCTGTTTTAAATATTAATAAATATAAATATAAACTTCAATATAAGCCATTTTGTAATCCTTGATAAGAGGATGTGAAACTCTGCTCTGAAAGTATTAAAATATGTATGAAAATAGACAAAAAACCTTAGTTACTTGTAATAACTTCTGTATGTAAAACTCACCATAACACAGAAGACTTCCCACAGTGTAATTAGCATAATGATCTTGGTCAATATTCACATCACCAAACAGCACCTGGGAAACAGGCAATGTTTGCCCATTTGTCCCAATCAAATATCCTTCATCACTTTCAAGAGTATCACGGGAAGCATCGCAGTTACACCAATAGTTGCCACCACCAATACAATCACCTCTGACACCACACGCACATTTGCCAGGATGGTCTGGTCCTGAGCCACCCCACCAGTAGTTATGTTTTCCAAAGGAACCCACCCAGTGACCATAAGCAGGGTTGAGTTTGTTGAGAAGTTTGGAATTGGTGCACAGGTATTCTATGAACTGACGGCAATACTCACTTGCCAGTGCAACCGTTTGAGCTGATATGAAGTTTGGCTTATACATGATGTCGCGGATAACAGATTCTGGTTTGCTGCCTTCCTCCGGGGGGTATTTCTGAAGAAGTACATTGAGATCTTGATTTTTGACTTCAGTCCAAACACGAGAGATTTCATCCCCAAACCAGTCAAGTTCTGTGGTGATGTTGCAGATGGTTTGATAAGGTTCTTCAATTCCTGGGCCATCTGGATCAATTGTGTAGTTTCCAGTTTCCATTTCAGGGAATTCTTGTCGATATTCATAACAAGTACGAGGGTATTTTGCTAAAGAACAGAATAATTAGGTAAGATATTGAATCTAGGAAATTTTGATTTATATAATACAGTCAACTCACTCACAAGCAACCACCTCTGGATCAGGAAAAAGTGGTCGCTTACAAGAGATGGTCCCTAATGAGAGTTTTTTTTACAGAGTTTATATGGGAAACAATTATAACAGGAAATTTAAAAGGTGGTCGCTTACGGGAGATGGTTGCTTACGAGAGTGGTCGTTCAAAGAGAGTCAACTGTATTTTAAAATCTTGTTATATCATTGTTGTATGTGCGTATCCAAATTCCATCATAAACCAAAAAAAGAAAAATAAGTTTGTTATACACTTACGGACTTGACAAACAGCTCCAGTGTAGTCTGTTCCATAGCAGTCACAGGCAAAGTTTTTTCCATCTTGAGTACATTTGCCCCTGTTCTTACAGGAATTAGGGGAGCAAAAATCAGTGATATTACAAACACCAGTTTGTATGTTGGCATTATTCTCTTTCACTGCATCAAACTTTTTGTCATTCAAAGTGAGATCCCACAAACAACCAATGAAATCCTGACCACCAACTAAAACATTTCCAGTAAAGAAGCTGGAAGGGAAATCTGAACCTGGCGGGCGAAAGTCAGCAATGTTGTTGACCATTAGTTTAACACGAGCAGCACTTATTTCAAAAGAAACATCATGCCACATGCCCTTGTCAACAGTTTTGAACTTGAAGATTTGCTGAACTGAAACAGTTGTTGGGCTGTTTTTGATGGTAACAGAAAGTGAAACTTGCTCTGCAGTGTACTTCAGTTCAAACCCTTTTTGGTTGCTTGTAGGCTGTCTCAGTATTGTCCCACTCCTCTTGTAGGTTCTGAACTTTAAAGAGCCCTTCAGAGAATTTCCACTTGTTCTTATGTCACGGAAAGTAAATTCTGAAGCCTTGCCAAAAAGCGTAAATGGAGTATATGACTCTGGTTTGCAAGCTTCCTTTACATCATATTTTCTCAGTGTCGTGGCATCACCGCCAAGGGCTTGCAACAGATTCCAGGCATTGAATTTGACTCCTTTCAGACAACCTTTAAAATTGGCACCTGAAATAATGTCCCTTAGTCTGCTGAAATCATGTGCACCCCCAATAAAGAAATAGTTATCTAGATGCAATTCTTTATAGCGAGTTTCAATTCGACGTTGTTTCTCTCCAGTTGAATCCTTATCAAGTATAACGATAGTTTCTCGGCCACGAAACTGTATTTCTACACTATGGAATCTGTTGTTTGCCAGTTCATCACCAAGGGTAACGTTCTTATGGTCATCTTCACCTTGGTACCTTCCTAAGCTCAATGCAAACCTAGAGAACAAGACAGACATTCTCATGAAAACCACATTCACAGGAATTGGAATAACATATTGTCAAAGGATATAATGTCCTTCCAAATTGTGCTGTTTGCACTTTTAAAGGATAAATTGATGGCCACAATCATGAAGAATTATTTGATTTTCTCTTTTACACTTTAAATGATTTTTTTTAAAGTGATTCTGCCTTGATTTTCAAGATTAATAAATATAGGTGAGGTAATCACCTTTCATTCAGACTGCTATTGTTGTGAACACATGTCAATTTGTAGCAAATAATATAACTTTGTATCTCTTATGGTCATTTTAATTCTTAAAAGAATCTGGTCGCTAATACCACTTTGAAAGACAGCCCCCCTTATTGAGCAATTATCAACCATTGTCAAGCAAATCGAGTTTCTACATTTTCAATGGATTCTCTCATAATAACACAAAAACCTAAAATATCATATGACAATTAAGCAATGCTTTAGTACCTAAGCTTTCCTCCAATAAGCTCTAAAGTAAAGTAGTCTCCAAACTCATCTCCTGTGCTGTCTCCATGTAAGATCAATCCATTAGGCTGAATAGTAGAGAAAGACAGCTGTACTGTATTAGAAGAGCTCTTTATTGGTTTCTTATGAAGTAAGTATTCTGCATAGGCATTCCCATTAAAATAGCCTTCAGTAGTTGAAGCAGCTACATGAGAAAAATATTGCAGCATTAGTAAACAAATTTTCCTGTGAAATGCACATAATTCAAGTAATTCTAGATGTTTTTTTAAAAAAAGTCGTGAAACATTACCCCTTACTGCCCATGAATGATATAAACAAGTAATGAATTTTGTCAAAAAAGTACAAGTTTACTATTGTAATGTATACTAAAGACTTCAGTACAACTTGTTTGTCTAAGTAAATAGAATGCATTTCTAATACAAATATACAATAATAACAGTGCTTTAATAAAAACTATGCTATAATTTAAATGTACGAAGTTATCCTTCAGCAGTATCATGCATATATGAGAATTGTATCAAATGAAGTCTTGGCCACTATTTTTAAGATCTTAATATGCTTGGAATGACATATTAATATGCTTGGAATTGTATATTAAGATCTTACAAATAGCAGCCAAGACTTCATTTGATACAATTCTCATATACTATAATTATTTTTTGAAATATTCGTAACATAATATGTAGAATCTCTGAAGTAATAATTATTGTTATATAACACATTAACGCATTAAATAAGGAAATAAGTACTAATACTTGTCTAGAAACAAATTCATTTTAGAAATTAGATTTTGCCGCTCTGTATTCACAAGAGTGAAATATTAACGTGTAAAATGTGTTAATTTTACAGACTGAAGGTTATGATTAATTTGAATGGATGACGATTAATGTCAAACTATCATGGAAATAGTTTTGTTATGTGTCACACAAAAGAATTTGAAATGACCTTTTTTACTCATAGTAAAAGTCCAAGATACAAAACCATCTCACAAATAAATATTTTTTGGGATATTTCAAATATCAATTAACAATAAAGAGACTAGCGCCAAGTTGTATCTGTTGGCGCTAGTCAGCTAGACAACAAGCTCCCATTGGTTTGTGAGAACTTAGTTTTCTCACTGCGTTTTCTTTTATGAAATATCACAACAATAAACCATGTGGCTACAAGGTTTCCTAAAGACATCTGCATTGAACAGAATTCCCAATGAATCTTGTCTTATATTTGCGGAAAGTTTATATGAGCAGATTTCAAATTAATTCAACAACTCGAAATTAAATGCATGTGCTTCAAAGTAACAATACTAGAATCGCACAAATTCCATGAAAGACTTCAAAATTTCAAGACGGTGTTTGAAGATCTCTCAACTAAATATATGTCACTTTATTTCCGTACATGAAAGAGGTAGTGTTGTAACAAAGTTTCTTATTTCAACCCGATAAGAAATCTACAAAATATTATTAAATGCTTTGCATTCAATAAATAACTTTTACGAATATAACTGCGATGGTCTGTCATTTTTATGTCACACAACAGCAACCAATCCATAAACAGTTAAACTCCAAAGCAATATTTCAGTAATATTTCGATTAACCATGACCGAAGTTAGAAGGCACAAAACCGATGATATATAAGACTTATATCATGAGCGAATAAAAACACTTTTGTTTGCGTGCTTCGAAATTCGATTCGAGATTATAGAACAACAAGAAAGAATAACTCAAGTCGATATCTCAACGTTCATGATGTTTGAACAAGATCAACCTCCTCATAAGACTTTCCCAACCAAAATCATCGAAGAACAATACTATTTTCGAAAATAAATGTTAACCATCGAAGTTAGGTATTCTGGCAATCAATCAAGTGTAAATTCTTAACGCTGGCTGGGCATTAAAATGGCTTCCTAAACTTCGTTCAAAAACACATCCTAAATTCATTTAATTTCAATAACAGCCTGTGGAAGTGAAAGCAAAAGTCTGAAATGGGTTTATGAGAGGTCAAACCACGACTTTTAGCAGCGTCTGTTAACTAAAATTGAGTGTAACAAAGGCTTGGTATAATCATACTCAACAACTTCGACTAACTTACGAATCATAGCGATTGTGTTTACACAAGAAGCAAAATTAACTACAGTATGTTATAGACCTTAAAGACTTTTCTCATACCCCAAGGAAAAAACCTTTGCATTGCAACAGTTATTTAATCAGCGAGTTTTAATTTCTATGAGTGTTCTGCAAGTTCCCGCCTCACAACGATCAAACGACATGTAGAGCTAAAAACATCACTGATAATGAATTATCAAATACTCAAAACTTCCTAAAGCATGCACCAATTGCAAATCAACCTACCTGCGTCAGACTCAACAACGAACAGGCAAAACCACAATAATAGTGAGAATCCTATTCGAGCCATCGTCTAAATTTACAAGATGAAGACGAAGTTGACCCAAATTCCTCTTACACAGGAATAAATCACGTGACATGAGAAAGGACGCCAATCGAATACTAGTCCCTTGCTCGATGCTGATTGGTTCCTTTTGTTTTGAATATGTTTGGCATGTCTGAAAGGGCGTGTAAGGCGAAAAATATGATCGAGGTAGAAAATTTTACTTATATTATAAAGAATAGTTTTTGTGAGAAGTATATATTTTCAGAGCATTCTTTAAAAATGCTGTAAGGTCATTGTATACGATGAAAATTATGTTTCACCATAAAGACTCCTTTGCAGACAGATTTTGCTGCGGGCTTCCTGTGCTATTACAAAAAAGGGTGCAAAGGATACATGAACACAACATGTACTGCATGGAATTCGCTTTTTAAAGAAATGCAAACAATTTTATTATAATAACTTATAAAAACAAATAAATAAAACTGTAAATATGATAAATTCATAAGGTATTAAAAATGTTATAAAATTGAGATTTTCATTCAGCCTATTATCATGTTTCAAAGTTAATATATTAAATGATATTAAAAGAGATTAATAAAATATGAAACTTATTGATTATAATGGTAACACTCATTAGGGACACCTATGTATACTGTCAACATTATAAAATTATCCCCTGCCTATATAAACCCATATAGCAACATTATTTACACATTTAATAATTGATAAAGATGAATCTTAGTGATTTAACTGAAGAATAAATAACATTTTTTGAGTTTCTTTAATAAAAGTTTCAAGGCCTAGTGTTGAATATGTTGTTTAAACAATTCTAAGTTCCGCAACATATCATCCAATTTTGACCACAAAGTAGGGTCTAAATATCTTATGGTATGTTCTCCGTATTTAACTATATTATATTATATAGCTATTTGTTGTTTTTTTTGTGAACAGGTTTTGTATATTTTCAGAATACAGTCCATGTTTGACTTAATAAATATAAGCTTTGCAATGTTATGAAAACACCGACTCTTTAGAGTGGGTAATTTTGCTTGTTTAAGTAAGTTATCATGTACCCATTTTTTATTGATTTTAGCCTTTAAGCCTATTTGTTGCAATCTATATAGCTTTCTGCAGTCTGATTTATGACAAAGATTCCATATAGAGTGACAGCAAGTTAATTGAGGGAGAATAACAGTTTTGTATGTTGTCATTTTACACCTTTTAGGCAGCATGTTCCTGAGTCTCTTTAAAACTCCGCCAGAAAACCAGAATACTTAAAAAAACCCAAGCCCATTCAAAAGTTGTGTTACGACCCTTTCCTTGGTGCTGAACTCACCTGTAATGATATGTTAATTTAAGGAACAAGAGGTTTAATGAAATATAGCAAAATATATTAAAATTGATAGTCCATCGTTTCAGTTTCCTGAGCTAAACCTGCCTGTTTATCTTCACTATTTCTATCTGCCAGAGTTTCTAATGTATGTTGACCAAGAGTTTCAGGAAGAACCAGCCAGCTAAGAAAACCAGCCACAAATGCGGTCAGAGCCATTAATACAAAGGGCAGAACAGGATGAGTTTTGTTCTGAAAAGACATAAATAAGTAAGTACAAAATAAGTACATAATAACCATCAAACGTGAAAAATGATTTGAAAGAGCATTAATTCAGCACTATTTGGTGCACTGTCTTTAATATAACACAATATAATCTTACAAGTAGCAATACTCTGGTGAATGGACTATCAAATCTACTGTAATTGCATTTTAACATATTTTGARTTCTCATCTGAAAGCTGTTCAGTCACTGAATTCATACCAATTCATGAATGTTTTGAGTGGTAAAAGTTGAATAGGGACCATATTCCTGAAGTGCTACTCCAACCCCCCAGACTTAAGTCGCTTATCAGAAACAGCTGTGAACTGAAATTGAAAACTTACCAATAAAACTACAAAAGGAGCAATGGAAGCACCAAACTGATCAAAGGCAGCCATGCTTCCAAGACCTACATTTCTAAAATTAACAAAACAATGATTATGACAAAATATTGACAAATGAAGTTGAAAATGAATGTCAGTATGCATGCATTTCATTGAATTTGGAAGTAGGTGGCTGTTCTGAGGTAGCCAGCCTAAAGGTCAAAGAAGATGTTGGGTTTCACTTGTTTGCTGGCTTCTAATGAAAATCCCAAGTATCCATGCCTAATATTCAAATACATTCTCAAACCTAGCACACTTAATACTTAATACCCAACACACAGTATTCTTCTCTCATTTTTTTCAGGATATTGGATATAACAAAGAAGACATGGTTAATGCAAGTATGCTATTGATTGTTATTACTACCTTATGATGGTTGGAAGAACTTCAACAGATGCAACATAGATTGTACAAAATGAGATAGATATGGAGAATTTTCCAAGGACAGCTGCTAATATTTTGATAGCTTGAAAGCCTAATGAAAAAAGCTAGCTGGTAATACATATAACATTATTTAATGCTGTTTAAAAATCAAATAGTTATGATTGTTGAGAACGTACTTAGAAGAGAGGGACATCAAGGTTTATGGGATTGCAGGATTGTCCATATATGCAATACATTGGCTGTTTTAATACCCAGTAAACCTTGTGAATTATGGTAATTTTGCGAGAATTTTAACACTGTGATATGTTCTTCAAGACTGCACTGAAAATTTAATCAAAGAATGCCCAGAAAAATAAGAACAACAACTAAAACAATATCCATGTACATTGTAAAACATATGTGCATTTAATTTTTGCAGGGTATGCAGTTATTTGCTACATTTTTTTAATGCAGTAATATGGGATTCAGAGGCCTATAATATCCCTCTTAGAAAGGTTTTGAGTAACAACTTGAAAGCAGAGTTAGAAGAGGGAGATGGTTCTACTAACTCTACCTGAAAGCATATCCTCCAAATAATTCTTACCTATATTTCCTTCTGTTTGTGGCACCACTGAAACAACCACGCAAAAGATAGAAGCTAATACAAGCCCTAACACCAGTGCACGTTTTCTTCCAAATAATCCAAAAAGTTTACATTTATATCTAAAATAAACCAAAATGACAAATGAAACAAAGAAAGGATATGGAAACACAATAATTATTACTATACCCCCTCACCCTGGATTATTATATACTTGAAATAGACTGGATCTGTCTGTATGTGAGCATTGCTGTAGACAACCAAAAAATAGCCTGATGCAAGCCAAAACATTTTGTAATAGACAGCTATCAATCAAATTTGTGGTATGACCATAGCTTTCACTCATCATTGAGTGGTAGTCTAACTGCCGATGGTATACAGCAATGTATAAATGATGATAGCTTCCTAGTAGACTACTCACTGTGTAATATACAAAAAGACACTTACTGATCCATGAACCAAATAGCAAAGAAGTTTGCTGGTAGCTCTACTAGAGATGTCAAGAAGAAGTTAAGGTAAAGACTTCCACCTAGTGCACCTGAACTTAATGTGACACCATAATAAACCATTGAATTGGTGAACCTATAAAGATTATATTGTAGAAATCTTACAATTCTATAAATGAAGTACAGTGAGAAATTTCATAACTAAGTTTAAAAATGTCAAGATAAAGTATGCTTACTTATTTATAGTGTACATTTAAACAAATTTCTCAATGAGACATTTCCATGTTAGACATGAATTTAAGAGGATATTGAATATCATGTTAACTCAAAAGGTTTTATTATAATTTACCAGACTATAGCTCTTTGAAGTATATGTTTGCTGGGTATTCAGCTCAAATAAAATATAATTGCTCAACTAATATATAGAACTCACCAAGCAACCCAAAGTATAACTGTTTTCATGAGTTGTTGTTTTGGACGGAAAAGATCAATAATTCCCCCAGGTTCTTCATCATTTTTCTCTTCAATGTTATTATCAGCTAAATGGTCTATTTCAAGACTCTTATTATTCAATTTAGCAATCATAGCAAATGTCTTCCTGGCTTCCTTTTCTTTGTTGTGAAGTAAATTCCATCTTGATGATTCCGGGACCCACCTAAAAGGGTTTAGAACAATAATATTTCAATTTCAAGCAGCAAGGCAGAAAAATTGGTATGAGAGAATACTACTTATGTTTAAAATCTTCTAATGAATCACTACTTCTACCAAACAAAATACTTCATCCACTAGAAGGGTTCTTATCATCTACATATCTTGGATGTTATTTTCTTATATCCATGACAATAAAGGTATCTTGTATATTTTAGACAATTTTATACAATCATTATGAAAAGATATACATTTCAGAATCTCACCACCACAATAAAATCAATGGAAGAGCTGGTGCCGATGTAGCTATAGATAGATGTCTCCAGTTCCTAATACCATAAGCAAGTCCATCAAGAACCATTAATGATACGCAGAAAAATACCCAATTCAATGTCCCTGCTAAGCTCCTATGCTCTGGACCAACAAACTCTGTGCTGAGCACATAAAGTATTACAAATGTCCCACCTTGAAAGAACCCAATTGTGGCTCGTAGAAGCAAAAATAGCCTGAAAGGAAGTAAAAAGATCATATGCAATAAATTGCTTTTTTGGACAAGCTAATGAAAACATTTGAAACATTTTGAAAAATCTCAAGAACTATTGATACCTAATAGTAACAAGAGCTTGCACAAGGCAAGAATAATAATAAAAAATAAGATTATATTTTTTCAATTCACATAAAATTGTAAAAAGTTGAGTTTTGTCTTCTCTGATACCCTATATTATACTCAACTGCTTGGAAAATATTTCTAGGTGTGATTCAAAAATGCAAGAATAACTTTATATGATTGTGAAAATGTGTCATCTTTCAATCAAATGTAAATGCTAGGCTGATTGTTAATTCATAACGTGTGAGTTATGGATTTTGACATCTTGCTATAGATGCAGAAGTGATTAACAAATATAACTATTTCAGAAAGATTCTCAACTTAATCCTCAGAACTATCATGAATATTAATTAATTATGACATACAAATTTTCTATCACTAAATGTTATTTAATTTAACACAGTAATTGAGGTAATTATTGTTTACAATCAGTTGATACTGTACCACACTAGGTACACTATCACACTAGTTAGACTATGATACTGTACCGCTTTAGGTACACTATAACACTAGATAGATTGTGATACTGTACTGCACTAGGTACACTATCAAACTGGGTAGACTATGATACTGTACCGCACTAGGTACACTATCACACTACGTACACTATGATGCTGTACCGCACTAGGTACACTATCACACTACGTACACTATGATGCTGTACCACACTAGGTACACTATAAAACTACGTAGACTATAATACTGTACCACACTAGGTACACTATAACACTAGGTAGACTATGATACTGTACCGGACATGGTACACTATCGCAATAGGTAGACTATGATACTGTACCGCACTAGGTACACTATAACACTAGGTAGACTATAATACTGTACCGCACTAGGTACACTATCGCACTAGGTAGACTATGATACTGTACCGCACTAGGTACACTACAACACTAGGTAGACTATAATACTGTACCACACTAGGTACACTATAACACTAGGTAGACTATGATACTGTACCGCACTAGGTACACTATAACACTAGGTAGACTATAATACTGTACCGCACTAGGTACACTATCTGTATTACACTAGGTACACTATCACACTAGGTGTTTAAACAAGCTTTATTGGCATGACTATTAATACAGGTATTGCTAGAGCATATAACAAAACAAACATGAACTTACCATAAAACATGGGTAAAGGATGATGCCAAAGCTGAAACAGCGACAACTGCAGCTGCAGGAAATAGAACTTTTGTTCTACCAAATCTATCAGACAGCCTACCAATTAAGAATGCTCCAGGTATCCAACCAATAAACAAGATAGATTGAGATAAACTTGCATAAACCTCTCTGCCACAAATAAGGTCCCACTAAAAAATGTATTGAAATACTTTAGAGAACATTTGACTGATTTTGTTTACTGTTTCTAGGATTACAATATGTTGCAACACAGTTGCCATGTTGGACAAAATTCATGGTTCCAACAAATCAAGCGCAAGTGTGTGATTAGCCAATCAGAAGAAAGCACAGGAATCGAATGCTCCTGGCTAATTGTCAGGCTTGTCCCAAAAATGCTTTCGAGTTTTCGTAAAAGACACAGTCTTCTGGCGATTTATTAGTAAAATGTCCAATAATATTTTTGTTTCTTTTGTTATTTGAGAAAGTTCTAGAGAAAGCATTGAATTATTTTTTATGTTTTTTACATTTAGAACATCATGCTTTGTCTGCACATCTTGATCCATTTGTATTTTAAACATTTTTCTAGATTAGTTTTGAAATTGTCCTCCACTTAACCTGGCTGGGTAGCGCTTAGCTGCTTCACAGGTGCCCTAGCAACACCACAAATCCATCTCAACTTCGCCCTCCAATCTGACTTTGTTTACATTTTTTTGTGGGACAACATGGCTGCCATTACATGTCTTCTATTCTGATTGGCCAACCCTGTGCGTTCGAATGAGTCGTTTGATTTGTTGGAACTATGAATTACATCATTATTATTCATTAATCCAACATGAAGGTGATGGCTTTGTTCTAGTCATGAATGTGGTTGCAACAAAAACTAATGATAATCTTAAAATATCATCAATATGCATAAATACAAATTAAGCTGTGACGACATAGAAATATTTCTGGAATGTTTCAATACTGTTCGTTGACCAATCAGAAACGAGATTATGTTCTGTTATTCTTATAATCTCTAATATGAGTCCTATGATGATACGCTCAAGTTATGCATATCTCAAGTTAATTTGATTGCAATTGGATTTGATCTTTAATCGTCCCTACCTCACTCGTAATGGACGTAAATTTATCAACATATTGCCAATCAGTCCGGTTAAGTTTACATCGGTCCTCATAATGACTGTTGGTTGGTTCAATAGTACCGTTATGTCTACATGTGGAATTGGACGTGCACCTCCAAGGTACTTCGGCACCAATGAACACCATGATAAGAGGTTGAAACGTGAGTACGAATATCACTAAACCTAAAATCAGTGTTTGTCTCTTTTGAAAATAACCATATCCTCCTATCTGTGTTAATATCTCATCAACATCCATTGATTTTGAACTCATTTTACCATAGGCAATTTGTGTCGATAAAATCGACCTCCATACATGTGCAAACTTTCGTACTTAGTGCACCTCGATTCACCCCTTCGAGGTATTCTGGGTACTAAAAACCGCAGATAGTCGGATGGCGGGAAATGATCTGGCATTTGGGCGGCATTGAGCTCCTGATGAATGATTATAGTGTATCGTGTATTAAACGTACTGGAAAAGGAAATTCTTCGCTTTTGGCTTCATTTGGCTTCATCAAGGTAATTATGAAATCAAAACTAGTAGCTGCATCCCTCTTGTGCTGATAATAACAGTGAGACTGAGGATGATTGCTATTTGTTGAAGTTCTGTCCTTGGTGATATTCTCGTTGCCAGTAAACAAAGGAGTTTATATCTAATATGGGGTACTATGGGGGCAGTCCCCTTTCAATACGATGTAAATGGGGTTTTATTCTATTTAGTAAATAATGTCTATAACTGTTATTCAATATCCATGACATTTTTTGTTTTGATTACAATATTTAAGCTTAAATGGTACTGTAGTTGGCTGGAGACAAGTAAACTTAAAAATAGTTTAATGGGACTCAATAAAAGTGACCTTCATGTACCTATCAATGTTTTGACCCAGGTAGGGAATCCTAGGGAATTTGACATTTTTAAAATTCAAAATCCTCTGTCCTGGTGACCCCTCGTCCATTGATGGATCAAATTCCTGTCCCTCGGGACGAAAATAAATGTTTTTAATAAAGTTATAACAAAAAATATTATTGCAACTGCAGGTTGTTGCTATGAACAAAGGGACATATGACTGAATGTGAAATTCATTTTTTGTAACATAAGTTTAAACTTGGTGCATCAATGGATAGTGTCACATTGCATTTTCTGTTTTTCAAAACGAAGATTGCCAGCTGGCA